GGTGGGTGATAGGGTGTGTGTGTTATAGTGACTGGGAGCTGAGGTGGGTGACAGGGTGTGTGTATTATAGTGACTGGGAGCTGAGGTCGTTGATAGGGTGTGTGTGTTATAGTGACTGGGAGCTGAGGTGGTTGATAGGGTGTGTTATAGTGACTGGGAGCTGAGGTGGCGGATACGGTGTGTGTGTTTTAGTGACTGGGAGCTGAGGTGGCGGATACGGTGTGTGTGTTTTTGTGACTGGGAGCTGCGGTGGGGGATACAGTATGTGTGTGTTATAGTGACTGGGAGCTGCAGTGGGTGACAGGGTGTGTGTGTTATAGTGACTGGGAGCTGAGGTAGGGTGGCATAGTGTGTGTTATAGTGACTGGGAGCTGAGGTAGGGTGACAGGGTGTGTGTGTTATAGTGACTGGGAGCTGAGGTAGGGTGACAAGGTGTGTGTGTTATAGTGACTGGCAGCTGAGGTGGGGGATACAGTATGTGTGTGTTATAGTGACTGGGAGCTGCAGTGGGTGACAGGGTGTGTGTGTTATAGTGACTGGGAGCTGAGGTATGGTGGCATAGTGTGTTTTATAGTGACTGGGAGCTGAGGTAGGGTGACAGGGTGTGTGTGTTATAGTGACTGGGAGCTGAGGTAGGGTGACAGGGTGTGTGTGTTATTGTGACTGGGAGCTGCGGTGGGTGACAGGTTGTGTGTGTTATAGTGACTGGGAGCTGGGGTAGGGTGACTGGGTGTGTGTTATAGTGACTGGGAGCTGAGGTGGGTGACGGTGTGTGTGTGTTATAGTGACTGGGAGCTGAGGTAGGGTGACAGGGTGTGTGTGTTATAGTGACTGGGAGCTGAGGTGGGTGACGGGGTGTGTGTGTTATAGTGACTGGGAGCTGAGGTTGGTGACTGGGCGTGTGTGTTATAGTGACTGGTAGCTGAGGTGGGGGATACGGTGTGTGTGTTATAGTGACTGGGAGCTGCGGTGGGTGACTGGGCGTGTGTTATAGTGACTGGGAGCTGAGGTGGGTGACGGGGGGTGTGTGTTATAGTGACTGGGAGCTGGGGTGGGGGATACGGTGTGTGTGTTATAGTGACTGGGAGCTGAGGTGGGTGATAGGGTGTGTGTGTTATAGAGACTGGGAGCTGAGGTAGGGTGATGGTGTGTGTGTTATAGTGACTGGGAGCTGAGGTGGGGGATACGGTGTGTGTTATAGTTATAGTGACTGGGAGCTGAGGTGGGTGACAGGGTGTGTGTGTTATAGTGACTGGGAGCTGAGGTGGGTGACAGGGTGTGTGTGTTATAGTGACTGGGAGCTGAGGTGGGTGACAGGGTGTGTGTGTTATAGTGACTGGGGGCGCCAGGTGGGTGACTATTCTTGGGTATATTTTGTTTTTCGAGTTTCAATAAACTCTCTAGTGTAGGACCAACACTATATCTGTATAAATTAACAGTTTTCATTAACAAATTGTCTGACAACACATACCGTCAGTGAGGCGATTAGCGTCACTGGTACAGCCCATCGGTATGCACCCTCTCAGAAAGGGGTTCACCCACCTAAAGAATATGGGGGAGGACCATGGAGAGAGCACTGTCACCTTACTCTCTGTATGGTCCTAGCTCCTTGAGTGTAGTGCAGGTGCGTCTAATAATGCATTTGTGCTTCGTTGACTGGGGACAGTTCCCAAAGAGCAGGACACCATTCAACAAACGTGGGACTGCAAGGCAGGACACTCAAATATGGACTGTCCCCTCAGATAAACTGAGATAATTCCTGATTTGTCATAGCTCTGTGTCTGAAAGATAACTCTAAAGATGAGGGGTGCATATTTTAAAGAAATACTGTTGCATTGTTAACATTTACTTCACTGAGCTGGATAGTGGAGACCACCATTTTGTTTTCTTTTGCCAAACATCTACTGTAATACCCACTACACAACCACACTTTATGGCAAAGCCGTAAAACTCAAATTTGAATCAGTTCATGACCAATATTGTTTCACAACTGCAATTGTTTTCGATGTAAAATAATTTTACCAAGGAATAAACATGAATCAGCGAAATATTTATACCAACAACTTTGCTGTAGGTACACACACATTATTATTCATTTTTGTGGAGCACGAGATTTAAGCTGACTTAACAACAATTGCCACTTAAATCAAAGTGCAGATCGTTCAGCATTCCACCAATCAAAGGATTGATGTTATTAATTCCACTGCAGATATATTCCAAGTGCTGTCTGTGTTAATTGTTCTACCTGTAGAAAAGTCGTATAGTCTTAGAGAACTGTAATTAAAGGTAACTTAATCACATTGTGGTAAATGCAGCATTAATGTCACATAATTATCTTTTTCATATATCAATGTCAGTTTGCAAGCACTTGCGGGCTCCTCTTTTTTCTTGACTTGCCAATAAAATACTCAGTATGGTATCATTTGCAACTCTTATTATTTTCCTGGCTCTTAACGGTGTATGTGTCCTGGAATTTATTGCATATCAAAGACTTTGTCACTGCGTGGCAAAGTCTGCAGGTGGAAGTAGTAACTAGCGGACTGAATTTGTGGGTAGTGTAATAATTATCACAGAGGTTATCTAGTAAATCTCTCCCAAGTTCAACGTCAGCCCCTTTGTTGTGAGGTACTGTCAGTGGTGAGATGAAAATTCTTGATTAGCTCGGTCTTGCAAGATGTCAGATCTGGTTTACATCAAAGTGGCCAACGTAGGTCGTCATACAAAGCCAAAAAGAAGTGTGATTGTGGTCTGATTTTTAGCCCCAGAATTGGGGTAATAGTTTTGAACATTGTACATTTTTAGTGAATTTTGAAAACTCCTAGAATTTTGGATCGTATTCACAATACAGAGAGAAAGTGATGTGATATATATGAATCCTCTTTGATTGACTGACTCAAGATGGGATGTTATCCAGAATCACAGGCCACCTGTGGCAGTGACTGACCCGAGCTGGGATGTTATCCAGAACCATACATATTAAAATGTATAACTTTTCGAGTATTAGGTCTATTTGCACGAATGGACGTTCAGTAGATAGCTGGGGTCTGAGCGCATCATTCGTGAGATTACCGCTCAGATCCCAGCTAAAACAACCGAACGCCGCACGAAAAACATATTCCCCAAAACATACATTCAAAAGACCGATTGGTGTATGGGGAATAAAATACCGAACGGCCCGGAACTACCGAACGGCCTGGAAGTCCAGGGGTGTTCGCGCCGTCGAGTAGCCGTTTTCAGTTCCACGCGCTCGACGACCAAACACCGCTGGGGAAACAAAGGATCCAAGATGGCCGACCGCTGCGTGGTCGGTAGTCGAACAACGGCCACCTAGGAGAGCCTCTAATTACCGATTGCAACATTGTTGCAATCGTTTAACAAGCGCCACACGTCTCTAAATGTGTGGGCTACTATAGGGTGGTTATTTCGGTTCACGAACAGCCCGCAAAGGTGCCGTTCGTGAAACGAAATGGAATACAGCTATCTGCTTTCGGCAGATAGCCAATACAGGTAATACAAGGTTATACAGCCAGCATACATTACACCTAGGCACACACCTATCCCCACAACCATACAGGCAACCCTTAAAGGCACAGTCTCTTTATATTATCCAAGTGGCTAGGTTTGCCACACTTATATTTGGAACATATGTCCATTATTGCATTGAATAACAGAAGGGGTTTCATGTCTGCTCTCCTCTCAATACTAAATCACCAGGAATGCCCTAGTTCTCACACCAAGATCCTTAAAGAGTTAAAGCGCCAGAGGTAAACCCTGATAACATCCCATCCAGGGACAGTCAAGGCCATTGGTGTCTGAGTAAATTCTGTATTAATAAACATTCAGTGTTATTTTATTAATTGGAGCATATTGAATATTATGGGCCTAACTTCCTGATTGTAATTTCAGAGTACAAATTATCTTTTTGACTGCTGGCTCATGCCAGCCTGGGGGCTGACTGATATTGCATAGCTACACTGCTATCCAAAATAACTATGCACATTGAATGTTGCCATTTATGCAAACTGTGTCCATCATGATGTCTATGAGAGAATGTCATCAGTATTGTGACTTTTTTTTGTGTGATCTGGAAATATAACAATAAAATAAAAATAAATAAAAAGTTAAGTGTACTTAGTACGGATAAAAATAAGAATTTCTATAAATGAAGCAAATTCATTCTTGTGCTATGTGTTACGTGGCGTGATGTGCAAAGCAGTCTCTGCATTATCTTGACAATAACTTTAAAACAAGGCTTTTGTCATGCTATAACTTAAAAAAGAAGACATAAGGACCTTGTGTATGAAACATTACATTTAATCAATTTTAATTCAATACAAATATTATCTAAGATAAATTATATTTTTCATGTCATGCAAAAAAATAAGAAAATTATTTTAAAAACGGAACGATTGATACATTTTTTAGACATGGGTATGGTATAAGTTTAGTAACAAAATCTATAAACAGTTTGCCATATTGTGTCCATCTTCTTCTGCTCCAAGATCAATAAATAATATTTCTGTGAATATTGCATGTATCGTCATGTCAATGGGACGAAGCTCAATAATGATTTGAAGTCCTCATATTAGGCCTGTGTCCTTTGCGTTTTGTATAACAGGGGTAACGATTCCTTTAACTCTTACTTCATCTAAAATTGGCACCTGCATGATAAATGATATGGTTAGAACTGTTGTAGGGAGAGGATGATTTGGGCGAGTGTCTGTGTATGTCCGTATAGTCACAGAGAGTGCGCTGAGATTTAATAAGGGTATAGTTCATTGTCTATAATTGCTAGATTACCCCAGAGACGCACTGATGTGTAAAAACAGACCTGGTATGATTATTTTTCAAATACTTTATCATAACCTATAAAAAAAAAAAAATCATAATTATTGCAATTTTCTAAAATTTTTCTTGTTTGTCTATAGAAACTATTTAAAATCATAGGCTAAACTTCCTGGCAGCTCAGTCAAAATGTCAGATTTCTCCCGTATTTTGTAGAGATTCATGACTGAGGTCAATCAAATCATCATTGTTTTTATAAAGAATGTTATCCCTATTCCAAAGAATTAATTAAATTGAGACTCCACAATTTACCTTATTGGCTCTTGCCTTAAAAACCCACCAACTCTTAGTAAATCTCCCTTACAGACACGTGGGGACGCAAGCAAATGGCAGTCTTAGGTGAAGACTGGTAAGTTGGTGCAGACAGGTATGTAACTTATTAGAAAGGAAGGCAATGTGTCCACCAATACCTTTCCTACAGCCCTTGGTGTCCTCCGGTAGTTCTCTTTCGGTTACAGGTAGCATTTTAATAGTGTCCATACCCCATAGCTCCCTTTACCTGTGCTGTGTCACACGGTCACACATAGTGATTATCTGAAGGTATCCCACAGTTTCACAGAGACAGGCAGAATAATCCACAGACCTTTTAGATGCAAACTTGCCACTCACCCTGATTTGGTATATGCGTCTGGATGTCGTTCTTTATTATTTGTGATTGTCGGTTATATGTGATCCCGTTGAAAGTGTTGTCAATGAAGGAATCCATATCTCCAAGCACATCAACTTCTGTAGGGGAAGCACAGATAGGGATATAAAATATATAACTTACTTTGTCCCACTTTCATAACCCAATTATCTCTCTATTGTTGGTACACACAATGTTTGTTCCACAGCAATAAAACTCCCAGTAATGCGAAGTCTGTATCACAGATAGTGTTCTACATCAGTAAAACTCACTCTGATGTGCGGTATGTTTGAATATATCACAGTGCTCCACAGCAATAAAACCCATAGTAATCAGTGTGTATAACTATATCACAGCACTCCACAGCAATAAAACTCCCAGAAATGTGCAGTGTGTATGAGTGTATCACAGAGCTCCACAGCAATAAAACTCAGTAATGTGCAGTGTGTACAATGTATCACAGAGCTCCACAGCAATAAAACTCACAGTAATATGCAGTGTGTATGAGTGTATAACAGAGCTCCACAGCAATAAAACTCACAGTAATATGCAGTGTGTATGAGTGTATAACAGAGCTCCACAGCAATAAAACTCACAGTAATATGCAGTGTGTATGAGTGTATCACAGAGCTCCGCAATAAGGTAAAAATATTAACATGTAAATATACCTTCATCGCAGGTGGGGCTTTCTGCTACAGAAGAGGTATTGGACTGAAAGACATAATTAAATACTTTTTAGAATAAAAAAAAAAATAAGAAATTTTAATAATCATCATAATCATGATACAAGCAAATAAAAGCTTATCATTATCATTACTATAGAAATTACTCTATCGCTGCCTAGGTGTTCTCTTTGACTCCGACCTCTCCTTCACCCCTCATGTCCAGTCGATCGCCAAATCCTGCCGCTTCCATCTCAAAAACATAGCTTGCACCCGCCCTTATTTAACACCAGACGCAGCTAAGGTGCTGGTTCATGCCGTTGTTCTTTCTCGCCTTGACTATTGCAATCCCCTTCTCAGTGGTCTTAAGTGTTCCCAGATTGCACCGCTGCAATCTATAATGAATGCGGTGGCGAAGCTCACTTTCCTGTCCGCCCCCGCACCTTAAACTCCTCCCCCCTCTGTCAGTCCCTACATTGGCTTTCAGTTAGATATAGGGCTCAATTTAAGATTCTGGAGCTTGCTTACAAGTCCCTACATAATGCTGCTTCAATCTACCTATCCTCTCTAATACACAAATATGTCCCGTCGAGGCCCCTGCGCTCTGCCAAAGACCTACGCCTATCCTCTGTCCGTACTCCCACATATGATGCTTGCTTCCAAGACTTCTCCAGGGCTGCACCTTTTCTGTGGAACTCCCTTCCCTTCTCCATTAGACGTTCACCCAGTCTCCACTCCTTCCAAAAATCTTTGAAAACACACTTCTTCAGGAAAGCATATCATTTAAACTGTTAGCTGTTTATCCCACACCCCCCACGACTCAACTCCTGCAGCTGTCAATAATAACCTACTAAGTTCTCAGTGATTACTTTTCTAGCAACCTATTTTATTTCCCCTACTTATACCCTTTGTGTCCCTATACCCCACTCCCTCTAGCATGTAAGCTCATTGAGCAGGGCCCTCAACCCCCTCTGTTCCTGTGCGTCCATTTGTCTGGTTACAATTACGTGTCTGTTAGTCCACCCAATGTACAGCACTACAGAATTTGCTGGTAATAATAATAAAATAATAATATTAATCCTGGAAAGGCAGTTGTTTGACAAAGGGCAGTTTAGATTTGGGGGCAAAGCTGCCTACCCAGCCAAAATGTAAGTTCCTGGAGATCAACAGGGTCCTGAGCTGTATGGAACGGATTACGTCTCATGAAAACTTCATATCTGTTCTTAACAGATGGCATCATTTAAACCCTACAGAATGTTTGGCCAGATTTGGTGGGACTGATTAATCCAATTCCAGGTTTTCCCATTGGTAATGCTAGAAACAAATTCATGTATTCCAGATTATTATTTTTTTTACCTTACTTGTCCATTCACGGTTTTCTTGTGCAAAATTGAATTGTTCGCGGACCAAGGGACCATCTGAAGATCTTCTGTTTGGAGAGAGAGAGACAGAGATCATACAATGGGTTGTATATTTAAAAAGACAGAAAACTAAGGAGAAAACATAAAATATGGAAAAATATGGATGAAGAAATCAATAGATATACATACATACATATATATATATGTTGATCATCAACAGCTTCTTCACATTCTCCGTAACTTTAGTCTACGGGATACTGCTCTCTCCTGGTGCTCCTCCTACCTCTCCCAGCGCTCTTTCAGTGTTTCTTTCTCTGGCTCTGCCTCTTCTCCCCAACCCCTCTCTGTTGGCGTCCCCCAAGGTTCTGTCCTCAGCCCCCTACTGTTCTCTATCTATACTGCCTCCCTTGGTAAACTCATCAGCTCCTTTGGCTTCCAATATCATTTATATGCAGGTGACACGCAAATCTACCTGTCCTCCCCTGATCTCTCTCCACCCACCTTGACTCGTGTTTCTGACTGCCTCTCCAACTGGATGGCTGCTCACTTCCTTAAACTCAACCTGTCCAAAACAGAACTTCTAGTTTTTCCTCCCTCAAGTGCTGCTACTCCTGTGTCTGTCGCCATCCAAGTCAACGGAGCTACTATCACCTCTACCTCCCAGGCTCACTGCCTAGGGGTTCTTTTTGATTCTGATCTCTCTTTTACTCCCCATGTCCAATCGATAGCCAAATCCTGTCGCTTCCAACTCAAGAACATAGCGCGCATCCGCCCATATCTAACGCCGGACGCGGCTAAGGTACTGGTTCATGCTGTTGTTCTCTCTCGCCTTGACTACTGCAATCCCCTTCTCACCGGTCTTACATGTTCCCAGGTTGCACCACTGCAATCTATAATGAATGCGGCTGCGAGGCTTATTTTCCTGTCCGGTCGCACCTCCCACGCCTCCACGCTCTGTCAGTCCCTGCATTGGCTTCCAGTTAGATATAGGGCCCAATTCAAAATTCTGGCACTTGCTTACAAATCCCTACATAATGCTGCTCCAACATACCTATCCTCCCTCATACACAAGTATGTCCCATCGAGACCCCTGCGCTCAGCCCAAGACCTACGCCTATCCTCTGCCTGGATCCCCACCTCTGATGCTCTCCTTCAAGACTTTTCCAGGGCTGCACCTATTCTGTGGAACTCCCTTCCCTTCTCAATCAGACTTTCACCGAGTCTCCATTCCTTCAAAAAATCTTTGAAAACTCATTTCTTTATTAAAGTGTATCAATTAAACTGTCATCAGGTTTCTCATCCCCCACCCCATGACTCCGTTTCTGCAACTGTCAAAAATGACCTACCAAGCACTCAATAAACCCTTCTGTAACAAACTATTTAATTCCCCTACTTTAACCCTTTGTGTCACTATACCCCACTCCCTCTAGCATGTAAGCTCATCGAGCAGGGTCCTCAACCCCCTCTGTTCCTGTATGTCAGTTGTCTGATCTCAACTATGCGTCTGTTAGTCCACCCATTGTACAGCGCTACGGAATTTGTTGGAGCTATATAAATAATAAAATAATAATAATAATAATGTGTTTATAGACAGTGCTTTGTTGGGGAACTGTTCTAAAACTCTCCTGGAAGGTTGTGTCTCTTGGACTGCCTATTGTGATTTTAAGAGACATGGCACTCATCACCGGTCAATAAAATCCTTTAGTACAGGTTTTGTAGACACTTGTGGGTACCAGACTGCTGCCCATGAGATGGAGTGCGATGGATTTGGAGCTTCTAAAGGCTGGTGAATTCCAAAGAGAAACATAACGAGTACAACACGGGGAGATCCATCTCCCAGGGATCTGACACTTAAAATCCCAACATAGGTGTCTACAATAAGCCCTTACTGTAAAAACAGTCTCTTTTACTGTAAGAACAGTCTCTTCCCTATTGTATGAATAGTTTTTCTTCCTCTCAGCGTACTTCCCAGACTCATTTAGCATTTCTAGAGTCTGTCCGGGTCTTTCATCACACACTGCATCTTCCATATTGTCATCCTTTGTTTGAGCACAAAGATGGCAGGAGGAAGTCAATTTTAAATAGTGCAATGGTAGAACATATGGCTCAGTTGGGCCATACTGTCAAACTTCTTCACCATCCCTGCCATTAGCAGTTCCACTGCCTCAGGCCTATGGCAATATGGCAGCCTTGGGTCTCAGCAAGCTGAAACAGAATGCCTGCCCAATTATTCTCCCTTCTTACCTCCTCTTCGACAAAACCAATTTCTCTTGAAGGGCCTTCAGCCACCGAGATCTTTCAAACTGGCTATCTGAGGCCTGTAGGGAATGAAAGCATTTAATGATTACTAAATATACCAACTATATCAGCAGAGAAAGGATTATAATTCCCTAAACGCTACCTAATCAGAAGTCACAAGCTTGTTCCATGAGTGATTCCCATATACGAGAAGTCACAGGAGTGCCCCAGTCATATATAGCAGTCACAAGCTTGTTCCATGAGTGATTCCCATATACGAGAAGTCACAGGAGTGCCCCAGTCATATATAGCAGTTACATGCTTGTTCCATGAGTGATTCCCATATATGAGAGGTCACAGGAGTGCCCCAGACATATATAGCAGTCACATGCTTGTTCCATGAGTGATTCCCATATATGAGAAGTCACAGGAGTGCCCCAGACATATATAGCAGTCACATGCTTGTTCCATGAGTGATTCCCATATATGAGAAGTCACAGGAGTGCCCCAGACATATATAGCAGTCACAAGCTTGTTCCATGAGTGATTCCCATATATGAGAAGTCACAGGAGTGCCCCAGACATATATAGCAGTCACATGCTTGTTCCATGAGTGATTCCCATATATGAGAAGTCACAGGAGTGCCCCAGACATATGTAGCAGTCACATGCTTGTTCCATGAGTGATTCCCATATATGAGAAGTCACAGGAGTGCCCCAGACATATGTAGCAGTCACATGCTTGTTCCATGAGTGATTCCCATATACGAGAAGTCACAGGAGTGCCCCAGACATATGTAGCAGTCACATGCTTGTTCCATGAGTGATTCCCATATACGAGAAGTCACAGGAGTGCCCCAGACATATGTAGCAGTCACATGCTTGTTCCATGAGTGATTCCCATATACGAGAAGTCACAGGAGTGCCCCAGACATATATAGCAGTCACATCCTTGTTCCATGAGTGATTCCCATATACGAGAAGTCACAGGAGTGCCCCAGACATATATAGCAGTCACATGCTTGTTCCATGAGTGATTCCCATATATCAGAAGTCACAGGAGTGCCCCAGTCATATATAGCAGTCACATGCTTGTTCAGTGATTGATTCCTATCTTTCTTTCCTTATAGTCTGATTTATATTTGTAAATTGCTCCTCTCATTAAACTATTAATATATAAAAAAAAATAATAGTGTGTTGATGAGGAATTTGTAATATTACAGTATTTTTACTCCAATTTCCCCAAACAGCTTTATTTTAAATATAGGATACGGTTAAACAGATACTCATTTCAATGGTGGTCCCAATTTAATGCACTATGACACTGGCTGCTTATTTTATCATATGACATGGGTTCTAATAGAATATGTTATAAGTATTATTTTTTAAATTATAATTGTAAATTCTTTATTTACTGCTGTGTTTGGAGAACAGCGGAGAGGTATACGGTAGGCAAGTGATTGAGGTCTTAACTTGCTGCCAGACACAGTTAGGGGGTGAATCTCCTCCTGCCTGGGCCAGGTGGAAGGGTGATCGACCTTTGCTAGTCACAATGTCAACACTTTATATCTACATTGTACAATTCCATATTTATATAATCCTCTTAATGTATTACTACGCTAACGTGGGGGGTGGACTGCTATTTCCCTGAGTTAGCAACCCTGCCATGGGTTGTGCTGAAGAGTCAGGAGGTTACAGTTAAGCTATATCAAAACCATATCTGTGTTTAAGGTTTATATTATAAGTGTATTAAGTAAAGTGTGTATACAAGCTTCATACAAGCAAAATGATTTTCCCACTTCTTAGTGTCACTTCGATGGGATACCGAGATCCAATTGGACTGGCTACGCACACGGACAGCACCTGTTTAGGGAAAGAGAACAACTGATTGGGACATTTTCCATAACGTATACTGGCACATATCTTAATTCCCCACCCTGATTGTGTCCACACTGCCTAGAGCTCCCTTGGATGTTCACCAGGACCTGACAACTGGTGAATGAATGATGATAACCCTATAAACCTTTTGTACAGGAAACACAAGGAATGTCCGATTTCTATACACACATAACTTAAAACAAGGAGATTGTGCCCCATAGAACCCTCAGTGCCATGGGGCAAATATCCTCATTTTGAAACCTTCCCCATATTTCTTTAAATTAATTCTGCCCAAAAAATTTAATGCAGCCAACATTTGGTTATTTTTGTGAATGAGACGATCACCAAACTGCTACCCATCCATTCACGCATCCTTCCATTCACCCATCCATCCATCCATCCAACCAGTCATTCATCCATATCTTTTTGTTGTACCTCTCTCTCCCTCTTTCCTCCGTCTCCCACACACATACCTCTAGCTAATGGATAGGATTTCACAATGATATACGGCCGGCTATCTCTATATATTGCATGATAACAGGACATTTAATTAATACTCACTTCTCGCATGTCTATGACTCCCCAGAGTTCTCCCTGAAAGCAGACACAGATCGTTGTGAGTTATAATACTCCCTGTCTCAATGCTCCAATAAATGTCCCTGCTGCGGCATTTAAAGCAAATTGATCGCCTGAAAGAAATCTTTACATTAGACCGTAAAAATCTATATGTGGCTTGAACGCTTTTATTTAACAGTTTAGCAGTTTGAGGCCGTGTTTATTGGCATGCTTTACAATAACCGTCTCCAATTAGAGTCCATTCCTAGCATGCACCTCGTTTTGTATATTTTGCAATTTTTCTGACACATTTAAAAACTAGTTCAGGAATCAGGGGAGGTGAGATAGCCCCCCCTAACGGGGGCGGCACTCTGCTTCTAGTGAAATTAAGGATTTTATGGTTAATTATAATCCAAGCTGCTTTTGAACGGATCCCTTTCAGTAAGAAACTGGATACAATGAGCAAATCCGAAAATTACTAAAAATGTAATAAAAAGGTTTATTTTTCCCCAGTGAACGTTAGATATACACTGCGTTATAGTTCCTTTTCTGTTTGTTTTTTATAATATCATTTTTATTGATTTTCGTTAATGATTTTTTAATTTTATTGAACGTCAGGGTAGGTTTTTATTGACAATGTCATTGCTGTCCTATCTCAGTTAACATATTAATATTAACTCAGAGTAACGTTGTATAATTATACTGATAAAGGGATACAACCAGTTACTATATAATGGATACTGTTATGTAAAACAGGCCTAGAATTAAAGGGAGAGACTCATTATAACCCTAGGATTGATGAAATAGCAGCTCATGGTTGCAGTACTTCTCTCAGCCTTTCAATGAAGGGTGGCGCTCTAAGCCATTCCTGCAGCTGGAGGGATATTGGTTGGCTAATCCTTTAAATGGTCACTCATTATAGATTTCTATAGACAACACCTACAATAATCACACAATACACATTATTTACATAATTGATGCTCATTAAATATATATTAAGCTGGGCATCGTAATATCTTATAAAAAGCGTGAGCTATATAATTATATTCTGTATGGTTAGAAAGATGTCTATATTATTTTGTTTGTTTGTTTATTTTTGTTGTTGTTTTCTTAACACAATTAATGCCAGAATCATGATTTCAGGAGATGGTTCAGCCCAAAATAAAAATGGCACGTGTATTTTAAAACATTGTTTTTGCAACGCGATCAACGAACATGAATTAGATTGAGATCTATTTTGGTGCAGCAGACATACAGATTCCAATTTCTGGCTGTGAAATATTTTATATAAATTTAATTTATTAGCACAGACACAAATTCAAACTGTAAAACGTACACAGCCCCTCACGATGCCCACTCAGATACAAAGTATTTTAAAATTACTTCACTTGCCACCTCCTTGTCACAACTTCCTCCAACTTTATAATAGGATAGCTTTATGCCTGCTAGCGTGAAGGTGTACGTTCGCCACTGGAATTTCTGTAAGACAAAATCAAGTTAAAAAAATAAATTAACCAAAACCCAAGACGAAAGAATAACAGATGTCGACAAGTTTGTTGAAAATACTTACTTGCAATGAACGTATGTTGAAACTACCGACAAACAACTGGTATATGCGCTTGGAAAGTTAGACTACTATGAAAAGATTTATTTTATGCAAAATTTGTACCACAAACTCTAACTCCCTGTTTTCTTTTCTGTACCCCCACCCCATAAAACAAAAATCTTTCAAAATAAAGAATACATTTTTTTTTAAAAAAATACCAATGAGAACATTTTATCAATTGTTCGAGGCAGGTTTAGCGATGGAGGAGGTGTATTATAACGCAGAAAATCTAGAAAAACTAGAAAATCTTGAAAAAGCAGCTAGTATAATAGAATATCTGAATAGAATAGAATATCTGTTTCTGAGAACATTGATTGAGGAAAATTTGCTTATTGAACATTGATTTTTTTTTTTTAATTCATATAGGTTTTTTTCATTGAATCAGGAACAAATGGAGTCTGCTAGTTTTGCATCAAATTCATTGTCTATTACCCCCAATTCCTTGTTTGCAGCCAGGACTGCCATCAGAAAAATTGGGGCCCCAAACACAGCTTAAGGTCTGGGCCCCCAGGGCCCACCCTGGAGACTGCCTATAGAGCCCACCCCGACCACAAGGATGCAGTGTGTTTATGTAGTGGATGCAATGTATGTGTTTGTGTAGTGGATGCAGTGTGTGTAAAGTGGCCAAAATGTAGATCCATATCTGTCGCACAAGTCCCAGATTGCTTTGCCAGCTGGAGGTCTCCAATTTGTCCATCCTTGCAGGGTTGTATTTAACACTGAGCAGTGTTTGTGTGTTTAAATGTAAGGATATTTTGTATGGAGTATGTGTATGTCAATGGGGGGCCCCCGAGGCCCGTGGCAACTGTCATGTTTGCCATGCCCTGATGGCGGCCCTGTTTGCCATGCCCTGATGGCGGCCCTGTTTGCCATGCCCTGATGGCAGCCCTGTTTGCCATGCCCTGATGGCGGCCCTGTTTGCAGCAGCTGAGGCACCTTGGGGGCCTGAACATTGCATAATCTGAAATACTCACCATGACGTCTTCAGATATACAACTACTACCCGCCCATTAGGATCTTTAGTTAGAGAGATAAAATGTTGGGCGTTTGGCACCTCTTTGTACACCAAACATTTTAGAGATTTTCCAGGCAATTCCATCCCAATCCTATTAATTTCAACTTATTTGATGGAACAGAAATGTATTTACTTCAGAAACAGCTGTGCTAATACACAACACGTTTATTAACTAAAGGGTGAATTGTCAGGAATTAAAAGTAACCTAAAAATTTTAGACCGAAATATCTGCACTAAGAACTTTCCAGTCACGCTATTCTGGCATAACATTTTAAATTTCCCTCTGAATTCCCATTAATTCCCATTTTACTGAATAACTTTGCATCACAACACAAAACAATAAAATGCCTCAGAACTATTGAATGCTTAAAGCGGTCATGTTAAATCTCTGCTCCGTACTCACCATACAATAGATTGCAAGCTTTGTAGGACAGACTGCAAGCTGAACTGTGGATTTATCCTGCATTAAAAAGCATGTAATTTTTTTGGAGGAGGAAGGAGTAAATTTTTCTCTATTTCATCCTCTCTGTGTCCGTCTCAGTAAACAGAATAGCTGGGACAGTATGAGGAGCTGGATAAGCGCTACGGAATCTGTTGGCGCTATATAAATGGCAATAATAATAATATAAAGAATCTGTATATTGTGGATTTATTGTCGATATCTATAATCCGTGTTAATTCCCACGTTACGTAGTAGTGACTTTATCTCCTTTTGCTCCAAGCATAGGGTTAGAAATGTATACAAAAAAAAAGTATGAGCAAGGTGAGCCAAAATCTGGATCTCCAACAGGTATAAAACTACAGCTCCCATGATGCATCATGAGAGTTATAGTACTTACGGACCTGGAGCATTTCTTACCATTAGCACAGTTTATGAAAAACTTGTCTAAATTGTGTTGAAATGTATTTTAAATTCATTTAACTGGAATTCACAACTATCAAGAAATATCAGAAAAAAAAATTAATGGGATACTTTGATAAAATGAGGTAAAAGGCAGAGCTTTGAACAGACTCCGTCTGCCACATCTTGCCATTTCCTATCGGTTATCATACGCAAAGGCTGATGGGGTAGAGTTCCCCACGACTGGGGCAAGCTTTACGATTTTGGAAAACTGGAATATGTACCTTCCTTCCCCCTCTCCCCTGTGTGCCACCATGTAAACAAATATGCACCATCAGGGGGTTATGGAAAGTGACAGTGTCAAGGAAATGGGGGTGTAGGTAGACCGTTGTTGGTTCTGATTAAAGATTTACATTTAAAGGGACACTATATGCATCAAAAACACCTTTTCTTAATGAAGCAGTTTTGGTGTATAGATCATGCCCCTGCAGTGTCACTGCTCATTTCTCTGCTTTTTAGGAGTTAAATCCCTTTTGTTTTTGTTTATGCAGCCCTAGCAATGCCTCCCCTGGCTGTGACTCACACAGCCAGCATTAAAAAATAGTTTCACTTTCAATCAGATTTTAACTTGCTTTAGGAATTTTCATCTCCTGCTCTATAAATTTAACTTTAATCACACTCGGGAAGCTCTTGCAGGGTCTGGAAGGCTATTAACAGAGCAAAATATAAGAAATTCTAAATTAAACAGAATTTTCAATAAAGGAAGTGCAAACATTAGATGACTCTTTACAGGAAGTGTAAGTCTGTGTAAGTCCATGCAGGGAGGTGTGACTAGGGTGCATAAACAAAGTGATTTTACTCCTAAATGGCATAAAATTGAGAAGTAAGACTGCAGGGACTTGATCTATACACCAAAATTGCTTCATTAAGTTAAAGTTGGTGTGGTGCCTACAGTATCCCTTTAAGTCTAGAGCAGTGATGGCAATGATCTGTCTGCATCAATGAATTCTATCTAGAAATTCTATCTTTGGAAGTAGAAGGTAGAGAGAATCCAGAGACAGACATACAATGTAGACAGAATGATAGTGTGATAGGTAAACAGAGACAGAAAGGCTGGCAGAGACAGACATATAAAGAGAAACAGACAGAGACAATGTACACAGGATGATAGTGAGATAGAAAGAGACAGACATATTGGCAGAGACAGTTAGGAAGACAGGATGATAGAGAAAGAAAGACTGTCGGAGACTGTTAAACAAGCTGTTAGACATAGATAGACAGTCATACAGATAGTGTAAACAAATCATATATCTGTCTTAAAAGATCTTAGAATAAAACCACAAATAATGCTGTATACAGTATTTGATATTAAATTAATTTACTTTACTATGATCATGGCACAGACAGACAGACAGACAGAATAAACGCCCCACACACCAGGTTTTGCCGCCTCTTGTCCAGAATCCCTGAGATCTCTACATGTGGTTCCTGGTTGGTGCCCATTGTTAGCTGTAGGCCTCTTGGCTGTTGTGAAAAACGCTACTGGGTATAGCAGAGCCGGGTGCCAGTCCGAACTAGGAAATAAATGAGCATTAGCAACTCCTGGACTTTGCTTTGCAAGAAAGTATTGCAGGATTAAAGTTCACTGGGACATTTTCCAACTCAAATTCTCTTGTTACATAAAACTTGAATTTCCACACACTTCCTTGAGTCTCTGGATGGGAGAGGAGCTCACATAGCTGTAAGTGGGTGGGAGAGGAGCTCACAGAACTGTAAATGGATGGGAGAGGAGCTCACAGAACTGTAAATGGATGGGAGAGGAGCTCACATGGCAGTAAATGGGTGGGAGAGGAGCTCACAGAGCTGTAAGTGGATGGGAGAGGAGCTCACAGAGCTGTAAGTGGGTGGGAGAAGAACTCACAGAGCTGTAAGTTGGTGGGAGAGGTACTCACATGGCTGTAAATGGGTGGGAGAGGAGCTCACAGAGCTGTAAATGGGTGGGAGAGGAGCTCAGAAATCTGTAAATGGGTGGGAGAGGAGCTCACATGGCTGTAAATGGGTGGGAGAGGAGCTCACATAGCTGTAAATGGGTGGGGTGGAGAGGAGCTCACAGAGCTGTAAGTGGGTGGGAGAGGAGCTCACAGAGCTGTAAATGGGTGGGAGAGGAGCTCACAGAGCTGTAAATGGGTGGGAGAGGAGCTCACATGGCTATAAATGGGTGGGAGAGAGCTCACAGAGCTGTAAATGGATGGGAGAGGAGCTCACAGAGCTGTAAATGGGTGGTAAAGGGGCTCACATGGCAGTAAATGGGTGGGAGACAAGCTCACATGGCAGTAAATGGATGGGAGAGGAGCTTGCTGGGCTGTAATGTGATGGAGAGAAGCTTGTTTTATTAACAAAGTCACTGAAGTTTAACCCCTTAAGGACACATGACATGTGTGACATGTCATGATTCCCTTTTATTCCAGAAGTTTGGTCCTTAAGGGGTACAATATTGTTGTCATGCATGTTTGTGTTGGCTTATATTTCTTGCTAATGCTTTCACAGAATGGGAGAACATTTTCTGCTGTGTCCTCAGTATACGCCTTCCTATCTGCAGACACCATGGATCAGTCTGACACAAACATGATCCAGTAACTCCGGGTGATAAAACGACAGATTTATTGAAGATTCCGAGCATGAAGTAACAACAGCAACATTTCGACTCAAATGAGGTCTTTATCGAGCTTGCATGGAATTTCCCTAAATCTGCCATTTTATCCCCGAGTGCCTGGATCATATTTAATTTCTTACTTATGTATTGGGTTCTGCCAGCCTCAGGTCCGGATTTGCACCTTGGATTACTATTTAAGAAGAGTGCAGACTCCCTCTACTCTTAGCAAACATGAGCCTGGTCTGTGATGTTTGTATAAATCCTTAGTTTTGGAGCTCCTGCAGTGGCCTCTGCCCAGACCAAGGGATGGATCACCCAATCGAACTCACAACTTTGTTCCTATTTAAGAGAGAAGGTCCCTATTTTGGGTCCAAATCCCTCTGTCCCTCTTTTCTTTCCTAATGTCCCTCTTTTCTAGGAGCTCCATATTGTTGGTGTGTCTGAGTGTATAATAGAGCTTCTCATTAATAATACTCTCAGTAATGTATCTGAGTGTATAACAGAGCTCCAAAGCAATACTACTCCTAGTAATGTGTCTGAGTGTATAACAGAGCTCCACAGCAATAATACTCCCAATAACGTGACTGAGTGTATAACAGAGCTCCACAGCAATAATACTCCCAGTAATGTGTCTGTGTATAACAGAGCTCCACAGCAATAATACTCCCAGTAATGTATCTGTGTATAACAGAGCTCCACAGTAATAATACTCCCAGTAATGTGTCTGGGTGTATAACAGAGCTCCACAGCAATAATACTCCCAGTAATGTGTCTGAGTGTATAACAGAACTCCACAGTAATAATACTCCCAGTAATGTGTCTGAGTGTATAACAGAGCTCCACAGTAATAATACTCCCAGTAATGTGTCTGAGTGTATAACAGAGCTCCACAGCAATAATACTCCCAGTAATGTATCTGTCTGTATAACAGAGCTCCACAGCAATAATCAGGGCCGTCTATAATATGATTAGGACCCTGGGCAATGCATTTTCTTGGGCCCCCATGGGCCCTGCCACTGCCTCACCCCACAATTACGTCCAACCCACAATCACACTGACAGACGTACTGGCACATACACACACAGACAGACATTAAAACATTCACAGATACATACTGACACACACAGTCACTACACACAAATATATACTGGCAGACATACTGACACACACACAGACATACATACATACATACACAGACACATACATTAACAGATATACTGACACACACACAAACAAATACACTGACAGATATACTAAAACACACAGACACATACACTGACAGACACATTGACACACACACACAGGCATACTGACATACACACTGACACACACACACAGGCATACTGACATATACACAGACAGACGTAATGACTGATACAGACAGACATTAAAACATTCACAGATATATACTGACACACACATACACTGACATACAAATATATCCTGGCAGACATACTGACACACACAGACACATACACTGACAGACATACTGACTGACACACACATACACACACAGACATACTTACATACACACACAGACATACTGACACACAAAGACATGCTGACACACAAAGACATGCTGACACACACACAAACATACTGACATACAGACAGACGTACTGGCACATACACACAGACAGACATTAAAACATTCACAGATACATACTGACACACATATACACTGACACACAAATATATCCTGGCAGACATACTGACACGCACGTACACACACACACACACACACACAGACATACCTACATACACACACACAGACATACCTACATACACACACACACACACACTGACATACACACACAGACATACTGGCATACACACAGACATACTGACACACACACACACACACACACACACAGACATACTGGCATACACACAGACATACTGACACACACACAAACACACAGACACACTGACACACACACACAGACATACTGGCATACACACAGACATACACACACACACAGACCTACTGACATACATTTAGCCACCCTCCAGGTTCTTACCTTTTCCTGGAGGGTGGTTTCCCTGGTCCAGTGGCAGGCTGAGGCAGATGGGAGTTCTCCTCTGGAACTCCCCTCCTCCCTGCCTTCCTCCTCCCGCGCGGCCATTATCTCCGGTGGGAGGAAGTGACGTCACTTCCTCCCAGCCGGCTGCAGAACCGGAAGACGGGCCCGGTTGCGCTGTTTAAGCGCCACAGCGCCCGACCGGGCCCCTGCTGACACATGCTCCCCGGGTGGCCCTTAGTGCATGGGCCACCCGGGGAGCCTCCTCAGTGTGCGGGAGCCGCAGCGCCCTGTCCACAAGGGCTGCGCAAATTGCGGGGCCCACAGAGCAGCTGCTCTGGGCCCCCAGGAGCAACTGGGCCCGGGGCAGCTGCCCTGTTTGCCCCACGTTAAAGACAGCCCTGGCAATAATACTCCCAGTAATGTGTCTGAGTGTATAACAGAGCTCCACAGCAATAATACTCCCAGTAATGTGTCTGAGTGTATAACAGAGCTCCACAGCAATAATACTCCCAGTAATGTGTCTGAGTGTATAACAGAGCTTCACAGTAATAATACTCCCAGTAATGTGTCTGAGTGTATCACAGAGCTCCACAGTAATAATCCTCCCAGTAATGTGTCTGAGTGTATCACAGAGCTCCACAGCAATAATACTCCCAGTAATGTGTATTTAAAGTACAATAAATGTGTTTAGAAATCAGTCTGTGTAAATTAGATACATTGTTATTAGGAAGTCAGCTAACATTTCTCAGAACAGCCCCGCCCCCTGACCACACCCCTACAATTAAAGTGTCCCTCTTTGTTCATGTGAAATGGGTCTTATGGTGCGAAGCCATTTGGTATTATACTTTTTAAAAAAATCAAATATAAGAAAGACAGCCATTAGAGGCAATTCCTCCGGCAGAGTTGAGTGAAACTCGGTCCTGGAACCAAATACTTCTGATAGCAGCATTTGATTGGAGGAGTTCGCTGTTTGGACGCGCATGCCTTGTCCCAGCCATTGCTTCTCTACGAGGTGAGAAATCTTTAAATAACTGTAGGAAGAGGGCAGGAAAACCATCAAAAGGCTGGAAGGGAATCCATAGTCACAAAATGTGTATTAATATTCCCTTTAATTTACTGGGGCTTATTCGTAGCACTGAGTTATCTTGAATGTGGCAAACCCTGCCACTTGGACTAATCATTGATGTGAATAAGTGTAATTCACCAAGGGAATTACCACACGAATTGACTGTACTAGTATTCTAATGTTTTTATTCAAATGTATGAAACTACCGAACGGAAGACCACCCCGGGGTGGTCGTGTGTTTCCCATTAACAGAGTGATACATTGTTGCGAAGGGAATTAAGTACCTGTATGGGTGGCCGCCATTTCGCCTACCTAACACGTGGCGGCAGCCATCTTACGCACGAACAGTGGTACTTAGTTGTCAAACGCCTGGAACTCAAACAGGGCATTCGACTAACCAAGCACCGCTAAGACCTCCAGCGTGCTCCGACAATACGAAGCTAACACACGAATGCCCTGGCGTTCGGTTGATAGATTCCCCTAAAGGAGGGGAATCATACGAATGGTAGCAATCGTATGGATGGCTAACCGTTCGGTATTTGTGGTTCACTGAAATAGACCGACCGCAGGGCCAGAATGCATGGAACTGTTTTCGGCTACTGAGTCCCTGCGGTCGGTCAAATCTTTAACAGGCTGTAACTCCCGAACCCCTGGTCCGATCTGGGTGAATTTCAAGTATGTTACTCACCCAGATCAGACCTACCAATTAGGGGACATCCAGAAAGTGGGGAAAACTCTGTCCCCACTAAGTGGTTTAAGTGCTAATCTAAGGGGAGGAGAGTGAGGGGAGGTGACCGGGTTACAATTGGTTACTGTACAAATTGTGAAAGTTACCTCCCTTGCATGGGAGAAATGCATAAAAGCAGACCTGTGATTAAAGCTATCAGTTAAATCCCAAACTATGAGTTGTCTAGTCCTTGGGGAGGTGGATTATGCTGTGTTCCTGTGATTTTGTATGCTGAATCTTTGTTCCCAGCGGAGAGCCCTTGGATTAACCCCTGCTCCTCTGCTACATTGAAATATAGTCCAAATGGCACATTCAGTTGTTGCTTTAGCTAATCTGGTAAATTATTCCTAATCAGCTATTCTTGTCTAAATGTTGTTATTTAGATTTCAATTCACAGCTACTCTGTGTTTAGTGAACAAACCCCACTTTGAGACGAGCAGAGGAAAAACGACTCCATTTTATAAAATAAATGAAAGTAGCCAATACGAATATCGATTGAGAGTTCTGCAGATCACTTTATAGAGACCCTCGTCACTCAGTGTAATTAGTCATATGGAAGCCAAGTATTACTTCGCAAACCAGTAGAGAGAGTGTGTAGATAGATTTACTGAATACAGCTGGGATATAAAACTGCCAAGTAAGGCACATGGATAATTTGATTTCAAGGAGATTTTAGAAATTTATGCAAAAAGAAAATGACTCTACTTGCTTTAAAAACGATGTAGCCAGTACAAAGCATTTAAAGGGAATTTACATTTGATTAATTAAATTGGGGGAAAAACAACACATTTATTTATAAAATATTTTACCAGGAAAGATACATTGAGATTTCTCTCGTTTTCAAGTATGTCCTGGGTCCACCAAGCATTGCATTGTTACATTAGGATACAATAAAATACAAAAACAATATTAATACACAATAAATACAAAATTTAACACAGAGCAGGTAGAAAATATATTATCAACCATGACACGTGCATTCTGTTTTGAGGTATGTAGAGAGGGATCTCTTAAAGGACTTTAGGCTTGGGGAAGATTTTAAATTGTGCGGGAGGTCGTTCCATAATTGCGGTGCTCTGTAGGAGAAGGAAGATCGGGCCGTTTTCTTTTTGTATTGAGGTAGACTAAGTAAAGTGTTGGTACTGGATCGGAGGTTATAGGAGGTGGGAACAGCCGAGGAGAGCATTCTACTCAGGTAGGGTGGGAGTTTCCCATAAAAGCTCTTAAACACAAGGCTGGAAAGATGAAGGGTGCGTCTGGATTCCAGCGACAGCGAGTTTAGTTCTTTTAGCATGTCACAATGGTGGGTCCTGTAATTACATTGCAGCACAAATCGGCAGAACGAGTTATACAATGTGTTGCGTTTATTAAGGTGCCGGTGCATATACTACATCCCTTTAATCAATGATTGGCATCAGCATTTGCTGTACAATCTTTTCCTTTACTGCAGGGCTTAGGCAGGATTTGTTTCTGCACAGGGCACCTAGTTTTGGATAAAGTTTAGATGTAAGTTTTTCTATGTGCAGGCTAAACGATAGATTGGGGTCTAATATCATACCCAAGTATTTGAAAGAGTGGACTGCGGTCAGCGTGCCATTTGAATTTGTTTTAATGGATAGGTGGGAATTGTGTAATTGGTGTAATTTAGGTACTGTTCCAAAGATCATTGTGACAGTTTTGTCAGTGTTCAGGAAGAGTTTGGTGTTTGCGATCCACTTTTCTACCTCTGTAAACTGGTCTTGGAGCACAGCCTCAAGCTGCAGTAGATCCGATTTGCTCGTATAGATTACCGTGTCGTCTGCGTACATTTGAGCATTTGCAGACATCTTCCTTACTTTCATTTCTCACGAGTGTATGAGGTTTTTAACGCTGGTATCATAAGGGTTAATTTAACAGCTTACTGATCGAGTTAAATTCCTGTCACAGTATTGAGAATAGGAAGCAACGTCTGGGACTTGTTACTAAATGAAAATTTTGGCCAATTGTTTTCATCAATGATATTGGAAGAATTTGTAAAACCACCCATCACCAGAGTTACCGAACTGAAATGCCCAGGATTGGATTCACAATATTGAACCTTAAGCAGTGTTGTTTATTGTAAGGGCTATGGTGTAAAGAGTCCTTGGATACAGTACCTCCTCTGTACAAAACAACAGAGGGACGATAGCCAAAGGCTCTCTGCACAAAAACCATTAGAATAATTCTTATTAGCATTTATATAGCACCAACTTAATCTGCAGCGATTTGTAATTATAGAACAGGGATAATTGACAAGTAGTTGATATACAAAATAATGGCAAGAGGTGAAGAAGATTCTGCTCAACTGAGCTTACAATCTATGACAAAGTAATGAAGTAGGAATAATAGCATGTCAGATGGGTAGGAATTGATGGATAAGATGCCTGTGTGGGAATATGCTGGTTAAAGTGGTGTGTGGAAGTATTGTACAGTGGCAGGAGAGAGGGAGCAGGGCTTTACAGGTGAGGGAACTGATGGGGGCAGTGACATGAAACAGTCATCCAGAAAGAGGTGTGTTTTCAGTGACTTCCTAAAGGACTGGAGCCGGGAGGGTGGGGGGAGAATATGATGGCATGGGGTAACGACTTCCATAGGAACGGGGCCACCCTGGGAAAGTCTTGCAGATGAGTTGGTAATGTGGGAATAAGCAGATGTCAGGGTCATTTGCAGAGTGAAGGGGTGTATTTGTTCAATGAAGAGGAAATATAGTGAGGAGTGGAGATAGTGATGGCTTTGTAGGTCACTATTAGGGCTTATGAGCACTTCTACTTCCCAAACCACTGAAGCCTCATACAAGACCCCCAAATAAATGTATTGCCAAAATAACCCTATCAGCTTTTATGCTTATAGAAGGTTGATGGATGAGTGGCCAGAACTCTACGGAAGCGATTATGTGAGAGACCCTACAAAGGACAGGATGACTGCCTCAGGCCATGGATCCCCCTAACCAGGACACTCGGATCCACTTCTGTTGTCCTAGCGAGTCTTTTATAGCTTCCTATCATTCCTTAACTTTATTTTATCCGCACCTGTTCCTTCCACGTCTCTTTCTTTCCTGTCGATCAACTCTTTTTTTCCCATGTCTTCACAATATATATATATATATTCTTCCATCCCTTTATTAATATTTAACAGTACAAATATTTACATCTTTCACATTTTCTATCTGTAGGTGAAAAGGATTCCTACATAAGTCTCATTTTTACCTGTTGTTAATTATTTGATCACACCAGTCGGTGAAGCTATGGTATGTGATCTTGCATAGTGTATTTATTTTTCTTTTTGGTCTGTTCCCTGTTCTAAATTAGTTTTCAAAATAAAGAACTTTGAGAAACGAACGTAAAACACAGCCACAGAGTCAGGATTGTCCGGGTAGACCGAGGTCCCAACAGTGACTGCATTGAAGAAGGAGCACAGAAAGGATTATTATAAATGCTGCTGACATTTAATCTTACCCAGATGCTCCCATGTGGCCATATATTGCATTGCAAATAAAAATAAACCTAATTGCTTATTTTATTTCCTTATAACTAAAGTCCAACTGGCAATTAACTGTCCCTTGTCCTTTATTAAATGGGAAGGAAAGAAGAACACAAATGTATAAATAAAGCACATAAATATCCTGTATTATTAACGGGGCACTCCAAACACAACCTATACCCATTTTACAGCTTCTTGTGTCGAAGAGCTGCATGGATTTCTTAGAATTTTTAATTTTACATTTTGCAAATAATGTTCATGTTTTTCTGCATTCTGGTACTTGTAATTTAGCTGACAGACTTGGCACATCAAATCTGGTAATTTAACTGAAACTCCCACAAACCTCTGCACTGCCACAAGTATTGTCTCAGAAGTCTGCTTTGTAAGGTTTGAGGGATACAACATTTTCAATGTTTTATTATTTTTTTTAACCACTTGAAATCAAGGTTTAGGTTTGAGCACAAAGTGTTTGTCCAGTTTTGTTGATTTCTTTCTGTTCATAGAACGCTGGGCAGGGATTTATGGGATGAACTCAGCACTTTTTAAAGGATTGGGACATCTTGATTAACTGATCGCTACTGTGTTGACGGTGCTTTCTCCAAGTCAATTAGAGTCTAGGAATTTATTAGAATGGAGGAAGTGCAAGGAGTATCTTTTAGTATGGATTAGCCATTTTAAATCTATACAATGCATAAAAAAAATAGAGTGGCGTTGCAGGATCCAGCTTACAACCCTATGTAGATATTGCAATATTATACTCAACTGATCAGTTTAACATAATGTGTTTTTTATTTGTACTATGGCATATTGGAATTCATACCCTGTTTAAAGTGATTATTATTTTTTTTTAAATATGTTGGTTAATTCGGTTTATATAGTGTTCAGAAATGTATCAATATAACAATTACGATTGAGATTTAAAATAAACACATTTTTGAACAAAAATCAAACATACCTATTTGCTTCCTTTACAGTTTCCTGAACACTGTTTGTTTATGTCAGAGTTCTGCAGAAATTTCCTCTCAAAACTGATCTCTATTGCCCTCACAGCAAAGAAATTCCTACCATTAATACTGCTCAGGTAGTGTGGGTTATAGGAGGTGTGGGAGCTGCAGTGAGCGTGCTGCTCAGGTAGTGTGGGTTATAGGTGTGGGGAGCTGCAGTGAGCGTGCTGCTCAGGTAGTGTGGGTTATATGAGGTGTGGGGAGCTGCAGTGAGCGTGCTGCTCAGGTAGTGTGAGTTATAGGAGGTGTGTGGAGCTGCAGTGAGCGTGCTGCTCAGGTAGTGTGGGTTATAGGAGGTGTGGGGAGCTGCAGTGAGTGTGCTGCTCAGGTGGTGTGGGTTATAGGTGTGGGGAGCTGGAGTGGTTATGGTGCACGAAATCACAGTGGGACAATAGCAAAGAATGGAGTCATTGAAAAGATTAAACCCACCTTCTCTGGTGGACGAGGATGATAATATTCTGTAGTTCTCCAGAGTCTATCATTCCTTATAGAAATAATATTTTCACAATCTCTTATTGTTAATAATAAAAAAAAAAAAACATTATTTTATTTGTTGACGGACAAACTGGTTACAAAAAAGTATCAACAAAGGGTCCATGTCAAGTAATTTCATTGCCGTTTGCAGAAGAGGTATTTAAACTTCCAGTTCAGAGTTTTGCAATTTTGCAGCATTACTTCGCTCTAGCTGTAGCCTTAAAATACCAATTTGTGTTATGAATTTTCTTATTCTTAATGTATTAAAAATCGATATTTAATTTGCCCTCCCCTGGACCTTCATCCAGAACGTGATCTGAGAAAGCTCCACCACACAAGGGACCTTATTCGCTAGATACAAAAGTGGAGTGAAATAAAACCAGAATTTCACGTTTTTGGCTAAAGTAACGGTGACTATAGCGTGGGGCAGAGCATATTTTTTTTAAATCCGCTATTGTTACCTAAATGTTTAAATTCAGTTTACAGTTCCCTATAGTTCAGAGTATAGAGAGGGAACCCCACAGACATATCAATCATCCCTAGTGTGTTTATTCTGCTTGCTGGGACCAGCTAACACTAAGCCAGGTATTTGAGGGAAATTGACAATTTAAGGCAAATAAAAAAAAAAATCCAACACTGCTTTTTTTGGCCTAAAACATACAATCGTATTGACCACACTTGCCAGTTTTGTGAATAACACCCAGTTTATTTTATGAACTGGATAATCTGTATAAATTCACAAATGATGAAAGTATTCTTAAACCTTAAGTAAGAGCCATAAATACTAGAATTCCAGATCTAGCTGCCTTTCAATGTGAAAAACAGCAGCTGAGATTTTATTATTTTGATTAATCTAATGGAGTTTTGAGGCTTTGAAAACTCTTGCTTCATATGAAAATACTGTGTGCCTTTCAATTAGCAGCCCTGCCAGTGCGCTCATAAAATTGCTTTTAAAGATCATCCCATGATCAAAACCGGTAGGGAGTTAGGACTATTTTAAAAATCCCTCTAGTAATCAGTCTTGAGATCTCTTAATAATATCAAAGTCAAATGAACATCATCTGAAAAATTATTTAAATAAATTCCGCCCTGTTCCACTCACATGATAATGTAGGAAGACTTTACGTAATCAGAAGGTTTTTGACTCTGAAATACTGGGGAGGAAAATATATTTTTGCCTGGTTTCAGAGATTTTCAGACGGAACCAACAGGCAAAAATAATTCATAAATAAATGTAGGACTTGATGATGTACAGCTCTGTCCCCAGGCTGAGAACCAATCTGTGCATGTTACTGGGCTAGGATAGGGCTTACTGATAGCCATCATCAATAAAGACTTCAAAGTCTCAGAGCTGGGAATCTCAAGCTTGCATTGATTTGTTAGCTATATTCCTCAGGAAGGGACATGTTACTGAAGACAGAGAGAAATCAAGGAAAAGACAAGGTGTATTAAAATCCAAATTGGACAGGAAGACCAATGCTTCCTTTTCACTTTGGTCTGTGTGGGATTGTGCCATTTAAAAGACTGATGAATACACGAGTTAAGACAAAAGACACGGTTAAAAAGCAAATGGGGGAAACAAATTGCACCTGCCAAATCATCTTTTCCTACCAATGAAGTGGGACTAAGAGGCTTCTTAGGCATTTAGGAAGAGAGTAAAAATGGTATATGTTAATTTCATGAGTAACCCAGTGCCTGAAATGCAGGCAGTTGTAGACAAACAGAGATACAGATATAAAATGCACTTGGTTCCGTTTGTCACAGTGATTAACACTGGAGGCCGTTGAGCCGGTCGGCTGATTTTAGCAGTTTAGAGGGACCACTGCTAGTTACTTGCTCCGTAGAAGTGCTTTGTAGAGTGTAAATCCCACGACGGCCGCAACTGTGGCCCCCAGAGCCACCCTTAGCCAGAAAGAAGCTGTGCTGAGCTCAGTGTCATGAAGGTGGCTGAAATGACACAAAAACGAGAACATCACTGTAAAAGGATTCTTGGATAAGGATTGGCTACACTGTACAGAGTCTGTTACTGAATACTGTCAGAGTGGCCATACCAGATGAATTCTAATGGATATACCGTTGGTCTCAGAATATTGCTAACACTACAACATCCAAAACATGACTCATTCACACTCTCCAACCGTGACATTCATTTACTTGTTCCAGAAAGTGGATTGGAAACCAGCGTTTAGGTTTCCATTTTCAGCACAAGAGGCGATTACAAAATGCCACAATGCAAAATTACAGAGTATCAGCATCACAGAAGAGAAAGCTTCATCGCTGCATAGGAAATGTATAATTTGATTCAGAGGAAGTTTGCTTCAGAACATTAAAGGCATGAGGCTGTAAAGCCGAATGGGTAATTACAGCAGAGGTGTGCTGAATGGTCTCCTTCACATGTTTTTGCCTTTATTTCTTCCTTCACAATAATCTCTAATCTTGAATTCGCCAACTATTATCACTAAATATATTGTCTGTGGGGCTCCTCTCCACGGTACGCTCCAACCCTTTATAATGGTAGTTTTCCCTTAAATCACCCAATACGTACGGGAAGGCAGCAGCTGTGGCGAGCTTGTTGTAGATAGCTTTGTCGAGGCTCCCTTGGCAGGAGAAGTGATAAGGCGGGGGCAAGCGATGCTTGTGGCAGAATTCTGCTGGCGAGATTCCGTGCTGCTGTTTAACCTCCCCAAGGTCCCATTTACACCCCACAAACAGGCAGGGCGTCTGACTCTCCATATAATGTTGCTGTAAAGGGGACACACAGAAGTCAAGATTAAAAAGAAAATGCTTTAAGACCGGACACAAGAAACACTCGGGCACAGGAATTGGGTCACAATATATTGCTGAATCTCTAGAATTCCGTGTGAATGGACGGCCGTTAAAGAAATCTAACAACAAGACATGCCTCGTCTCACCTTGTATATACTGGCACAGTAATTGAAGGATTTTGGGTCGCTGACATCATACATTAGACAGGCGACATCACATGCAGCAGCTGACGTCTTCAGAAACTCTGTGTCCACATCTACCTCACAGAGCTGGGAGACAGAGAAAGACAGATTAAATTCCCTCCGGGTGTCACGTTATAAGGAAACCCACAGAAAGCTGCTGCTGATTAATCAGAACTTTGACCCAGAATACCCAATACAATGTAGCACAATGAGGACCAGGTCCCATGGTCAGTAGAACAGCGTTAGAAATGCCATTTCAAAGGCAATCTGTGAAATTGTTACATTTTGTCTCCCAGCCCTCCTCTGGCAATAAAATATAAATCTATCTAGCAGGTACAGTAACATACCTTATACGGATCCTTCGTGGCCTGACACAATTAAGCAATATAGACTTGAACAAAACACTATTACACAGTAACAATTGATGTGTTTTTTTTTCAAATTGTAATTCCTTTCAGAATGAAGCAAGAACAGTCTCTTCGATAAGACATGAACTCCTATAATGTAACAATACAAAATAACAGTGATGTATGTTTCATGCAGACATCATGGAGCAAAAATGTATTGTGGTATATAAGCTGAGGCTATTCCTTTAACTATATAACTAAAGTAAAGTGGACATAGGATGGGTGCATTAAGGAGTGTCAGAATTCCAAGTTATCACTAACAAATCTAGGAATTATTTTACATTATGGTTTATCTTCCTGAAGGGAATCTAAGGCAAAAATCACTGTAAACCAGCTTCCAGATTGTAAGCTTTTCTTCTGATTTTATGACAGTTCTCTCCCCGAGGTTTATTCACGAAAACAAACTGCAGTGAACTGAGATCCAAATTGAATTTTTGGGGGCCTAAAATACCAAAGCAGTGCCGATCAGAATTTATTTATTTTTTTTAAATCCACTGTTTTGCAATATGTTTTTCAACTCACTACATTTGAGAATTTAGTGAATAAACTCCATTATGTGTGATATAAGCCAATAACAGTCAAGTTACAGAAAAAGCGAAATGGATAGACAGGCTATAGTAACTGTAAAGTGTGAATGGTAAAATAGTATCTGTATATATATATATACACACACACACACACAAACAACAATGGTGAATCCTGCCTACTATGACCACTTCCTCTATGTTAGTACTCACAATAAGGTATTTTTCTTGTCCCCCAACTAGCACTGTGTTTACAGAGTAGAATGAAGGCTCCCTTTCGTTCCGCTGTTCCTAGAAAAGGAAGAATTTGTGCGAATGTAAAAAGGAAAATAGATAAAAGAAGAATGGTGGTTATGGGTGTTGAAGGAATAGAAAAGAGATCAGAGTAAGACAACAAAGACAACCCGAGATCAGCCCGAAGAATGAGTTCTATCATCTAGACCAGGTCTTGGCAACCTTTGGCACTTCAGATATGATGGACTAGAACTCCCCCGATAATTTGCCAGCATTATGGCAGTAACAGCATTATTGTAGAAGTAGTCCACAACACCCAGAGTGCTGAAGGTTGCTTACCCCTGTAATCTAGACTGTGGGAATGGTGGCCACTACAGACACAATCTCAAACTGTTCAATATAGAATTCTATGGAGAAAGTTCGAAAATCTGCACCAATTTGGAGCGGTATTTTAAAAACAGTCTGAAATGTGTCATTTCTTAAAAATACACAAATAATCCAATGCATATATTCTGTGTCGCTTTCTACAACATTAAAGAGCTGTAAAAGAAGACCAGTGGAAAAAAACAGAATTCTTCTCCGGTTACATTTTTTCTTTTTTTAATTATAAAAATTAATAAAAGAAAGTGCTAACACAAAAAGCAAGCAAAGAAAAGAAGATGACAGAAAAGTCTCAGAAGTAATACATATTCGAAAAGGTTGTCAGAATTGATCATTTATGCCAGAAAAAAAAAATTCCCCCAAAATACAAAGGTTATTCGCTCTTATAACACCAAACTAAAGAAAAGTTACTTGCGCACTATTCTACATCCTTGTACATCCTTTAGCCCCACTCCGAGGAACATAGTGGAGAGAAGGTGCAGGTAAGGTTTTTAGGTTTTATGAATACTATAGCCATTGCTGCTGCCCAAGAGTAGTGGGAGTTTGAGTGCATTATTTCTGTGTATTCGCTTTGTTAAATCTGTCCCTGTGGATGTACCGGTTACCCTGCTCCTAACCAGCTCAGGCCAGTTTCAATATTTAGAAAATATGTGCATTGTTAGGCTTACACAAGTTGTACCAGCGCATTATAATGGAGGATTACTGTAGCCTGACCCCACTCTAGGTGTTGTGAACCAGAGATCGGATTCATAGAAAAGGTAGATTCAGTTTTAATTTTGCTTGCTTACCTCTAACGTCTGCCCCAAGAAGGCTTGCAGGAAGGCTGATTTACCAGTTCCCCGGGGGCCGATGACTTTACAAAGAAAAACATTTCTCTGTGTTTGTCCTTTTTCCAGATCTATCCTCTTCTCTCGGGTGACTGTGGGAGACAGAATTTACTGATGGAGGAGACAGACAGACAGGAGTTGGAGTGATTTGTGTACCTGATAAACCGCCACAAAGCAAGAGTTAAATAAATGTGTTGCTAACAGAAGAGTGAGGCAAAGTTTTACATGTGCAGCAATCACCATGGGAACCAATCAAATGTTCCTGCTGGAGCCACTGGTTTCCATGGTGACAAGCCCACTTTTAGAACACTTTAATGAATTTCCCTCCTGTTTTCCTTTGTTTTCATGTATAATGTCTCTTCTTTTTATAAACACAGTCACTAAAGACACAGATAGCAAATTAAATAAAATGCATCATTTCAATGGGCACCAGGCATGGGGTGGCTTCTTCATGAACATAACTATCTCCTTGATGTATCTGTGCAATGCAGTCAACAAGTTAGGACCTATTTAACCTTGCGATGTAGACTCCAGTATGCAGAACTGCACAGACTTTGTTCTGTTTAGTAACCTCGCATGCACACAAACAACACAGACATCTGCGGTTGCTTAAGCATTTACCTTGAGTAAATACTATCATCCCTGACTGAAATTGCAGCTGTGAGTATTTTCATTGCTAGTCTCTATCGGCTTTGCACACCTGGATCCCACCGTCAGGATGGACAAGGACCAACGAGGAAAACCAAATTTCAATTCTTTGTACAGATTCTCAGTCAGTCATTCCAAGACATTCCGATTCCTGGATTTAAATTGTTCCAGAGCGTACTCAGAGTGATTATTTGCTGACAGGTAATCCTCTGCCCCAGTCTTTTAGTCTAGAACTGTGCAATACTGAGGTCCATCCACCTGTCCCTAAATCCTAAAACATGATGCTCCCTACGCCATATGTCACCACTCAGACGGCTTTCACAATGCTTTTTAGATATGTTAACCTCTGGGGCATTCCAAGTATTTGCACTGAGACCATGTTACGCTATACATGCACACAGGTGTAATGTGATTTCTGAAGGCAAAGAGTTGCACCGGATTTATTTACACATATCATTGAAACGAAGATGAATATGTATGCAGCCAATATTTTGCACCTTTAAAGGGCTATGCTAAAAAATGGGAAATAATTACACGAGTTGCTGAAAAGGTGTGAAATGGACAGTAACATGGGAATGCTACATACCTGTAATTGCTTGTGTTTGGCTCTCTTGATCGCAAAGGATGGGGTATCCCAAGTAACCAAGATATTCCAAGCATCGATGTACCTCTAAATATGCCACCATCCTGCCATGGACACAGAGATATGGAAAGAGTGAACACCCATCCACTGGGACAACTGGCACCAGTTAAAGTGTACAGATTTAAATCAGTTAAAAAACAAACAAACAAAAAAAACAAACACGATTTGCTACAAGTAATATCACGACGCCAGGTGAAATTACAGAATGTAGAATTAGTGTCGTTGTGGCTTCCAGATATAGTTAGTTATCAGAAAAGCCATGGATTGAATGAGAAAAGGGTCACAGAGCTTACGTCCACTGGCAGAGGTAGCCATGGAAGGGCAGGAAGCCATTCTTTGCCATACACACAGTGCTGGACTTCGGACCAAACGGCGTATACGGGAAGACGCTGAAAAAACTCTGCAACTCTGCTGGACTGAGTGCGCCATCACCATCCTAAAGAGAGGAAATAACATCCACCTGTTTAGCATGCGGCACGGACAACATATTGCATTATTTTAGGAGCATTGCCCAGGTACCATACACCAATATCTGTATGCCTCCTAGGATAAGGGTCATTGAACATCCCACGTTTCCCAGAATCTCAATCCATCCAGGAGCCTCTCGCTGTGAGAAACACTTAAATCCTTTACGATTTCACAATCAGCAATGTAACTGAATAAACAGATTCTAAATATAAAAACAAATCAGAAGAAAGAACTATTCTGATCACACCCACATTTATATTATGTCCTATTGTCACAAATAGTGAATTTTATGGAATAACAGTTTACATATTTGAACAGGAAATATTGCGTACCTTGAGGTTTTCCTAAACAGTGTGTCATGCTCTTGGTCAGACTTACCAAGTCGTGCTTCTCAAACACCTTCTGCAGGAACTGGTAGCCAAAGTGGTTCAATTCAGTAGATGAGTCATGAGGGACACGCAGCCTGCAGGGGAAGGAGGGTACATGGAGTCAGACAGACAATGGGATGGAGGAGGTAAAATGGCACGATAATAAGAGAAGAAGAAGAGGGTACTTTTACGCAACTACACAGTGTGGCGCAACCGGTGTCCCCTGGGTATTGTACAATACAATCTCCAACAATAAGTGAATATTCCATAATCACAAGGAGAAGGAAATCATTTTTTATTTGAACTCTTACAACCCTGGTAGACACCTAGAAGCTGTCATGTGAGATGTTGACCTACTTTTTAACATCCAACCACATGACGCCCTTTGCCACGTTTTACCAAAGCAATGAGGGAGTTATTTGCTAAACTGGGAATTACTAAGGAATAAAAATTAAATTGCACATTTTAGTCTGGAAAGGCCTGGAATATGGCAATGCAGGCGAGTTGGAGGATGTTGCCAGCTAGACTACGTGCGTGGTATAACCCTGTACCGACTCTTCTGTAACTCAGAATGGACAAAAACATTGGTCCTGAAACAGAAGAGTGAAGGCAGTAACCAATCTATCCTCTATGAATATAAGCGTGCTGTGACAGTGTAACAGCTGCAGCTGATTAAAGTTTCATTCTACAAATAGTGGTTGCGATGGCGATGGCTTTAAAGAGCTCGACCTGCCAGTATGGGGTATGTGAACAGCCGTGGTTTTATACACAACAGCTCACTGTGTTGCAATTTTTCCATAATCACCGAATGATGGACAAAAATGTAAAAAAAAAAAAATATATATTTATTGAATAGAAAGCAGAATCAATCAAGCGGTTCTAGTCATTTCCAAAACATAGTCATTTGTTTCTAACCAGGAAGAATTTTGGTTCAGACAGAAGAGAACCTTGTTCCGTATGTCGATTCCCATATCAAGAGGTATACTCATTGCATAGTAAATTAGGATGAACTGATGCCTTTAAAATTGCAAAATTTAGGCAAAAAGTAACGGAGTTGAAAAATAGTATCTGGAGATTTGTTTTTCTAAGTCTGCTTTTATAGCTTACAATTTGCAGTTTGGCTGCAGACTCACTATGTAAGTAAGAAACTCCAGAAAGCAGTGTTTCATAATACAACAAGAACAATGAATAGAAAAGGATGGATGATCCGGGTCTTCTAACAGCGGAGACACAAAAATGAATGCGGTTTATTCACTAAACCAGGAATTGCAGAGAAGTGAAAAATTTAAGCCAAAAGCAGCCAACATCTGGAATCATAACTGACAATGTTTAAGTCCTCTAAATTGGCCTAGAAAATATTATTCCCATGTCAATTCTACAGAATTCCCAGCTTCCTGAGTGAACACCAGGAGTTTATTCACTAGACACCAGACTGTAATGATATGAAATGCGAATTTTATAATCAAGACATAAATAACCGATTTGGAAATATTCTCACATTCAGCTAAAGTCACAGCTTTGATATTGATCAGGAATTTTGCCATTGGGATTTCAATTCACTATAACTCAGAGGGTCCTCCAAATGTCTACAGCCCGTAGCAATACGAGAGAAAATATCCAGAAGAATTCAATTGACGGTGTTTATATCAGAGACAGTAAAACAGTGACATTTTAATATAGCGTTACCGTTTTTTGTTGTCTCCTCCCACGCTGATGTGTTCATTTTATTTTATTTTTCATTACAAAATCTACTCATATACACAAATGTTTAATCCCCACCCCCAAATACATTTAAAAACCAGTGTAAATAGTGTATTGTGACTGCTTTTTAATGTTTAATTCTCTGCTTTAAAGATGCCCAGAATTTCAGCACCATTACCAGAGACTTACGGAGGGTACAAGTAATCATCTGTCAGCTCTAAAGCATCATCATATCCAAATCGTCGGAGGATTGTCCAGGTGGTCTCGTGTCGTCCACGCTGGATAAACAGCGTATTGAGGAAGAGGAAACCTACGTGGGTCCAATGAAAGCAGAAGTGTTACACGGACTGAATGTCACCACCACCGTACAAATCAAATTCACTTAAATAAATATGGTTTTTGCAACAGTTTCTGGCAGGAGAATTCTCCTCTATTTAGAACTAGTAACTCGTAAAGCAGAGCTGGCAATGGTCACTAAAATGGATATTGTGCATCACTGGCAATAGTTTAAAGTTCAGATTGTAAGGGTGCTTGTTAAATGGGAACTGCCACGTCTCTGGATTTACACCATTGAATAAATCAATGAATATACAATATTTCATATACAACAAAATAGCTAAAAACATGGTTTCATTTCCCCTGTTCTCTGAATGCTCTCTCTATAGTGACTGCCAGGTGCCAACAGCAGATTATAGCAATGATTGACAGGGAGCTAAGAAGAAGGTGCCCATTGAAGAATAAATAGGTATGTATCTCTATGTTTAATTTTATTTTTTACCTCACAAAAACCTAATTGATAAGGAAATATAATATTAAAAATCCTGGAAAGAGACAGTTCCCTTTTGATAATCCATATTATGTTAGATTCAAATTAAACTGAAAACCAAAACAGAGTCATCCAGACTTCTTGTAGATGACATGGAATTACATCAAGAATGGTGTGTGATCTAATGAAGATACATAATATCAAGAGTGACGTGCCACTATTGTTTGTTCTACAATTCTTCTCCATTATAGACACCCAAGCACAACCACATTCCGTACCATTTAGTGTCAGCCCATTCTCCCTCACGCCATCTGCTGTGTTCTTCCTAACAACCATCTTAACGTCTTCAAGGGCCTGGGGTGCCAATGGGTTTCCAAAACAGGATTGCTGCCTCCCAAAAGATAGTTAAGAGGTCAGAGAGACACAGGAAATCAGACACAGAGTAAGGAGAGAACTGGCAAAGGGGCAGACAGATAGGAAAGAGAGAATGCAGAAATCATACCAAAAAAAAGACACGTGACAGAGGGTCAGCCACAGAGAAAGCATAAATAGACTTCTAGTGTCCATTAAATCTACGAAGTATACACCGCAAGAATAAAAGGGTGTGATGAAATACAAATAAACATCTGAAACAGGAATATATAGAGGTCGAGCAGCCCCCCACGCATACCTGGAAGTAGTTGAGTTCGGCGTCACTTAATATCTGATTATTATCCTGATCAGAGATGGTGAAGATTCGAGTCAGTGCCTTCCTGCAACGCGGCCTGAGCTGTAAAAAAACAAAAACCCATGTAATAAAAAACACACATTGACAGGATCGAGACATGTTAACATCGCTGAGTAACCTGCACCATGTACAGAACGCCTGCTTTCTCCCTCTCTCCGCAGGCCTCCTATGCTAGATCTATGCATATCATGTCCGAGGGTTATTTCCTAAATCAGGAAGTATGGAGAACAGATAAAAAAAAAAAAAGTGTAAATGTTTAAGGATTTGTCCATTCTAGCTATTTTGGCCTAACGGGTCAATTCCTCACAATTCCTGGATGGGTGAATATACCCCATTATAGAAGATCTGTTAAGGTTTACCAACCACAGAACAAAATAACCGATCACTAAAAACAAAATTGTAGCTGTACATTTTGCTAGACAACGCACAGTTACTTTTGGGAAAATAACCCTCGGACAAATATCGCAGATACAAAGGACGCACAAAGACTTAATAAAACCTTTTGAGTGTGACAGGTCCATGGTAACTAGATTTTTGTCTCCTTAGAAAATTACAATCCTTTCTGCAGTTTATATTTATGGAGAGAATTGTGTTCTCAGTTAGAGACCATATTTACCCAGACAGTACTGTGCTATGTATCAACAGCTTCTTCTCATCCTCTGCAATATCGGTCTACAAGATATTGCTCTCTCCTGGATATTTGCGCTCTCCTGTGCTCCTCCTACCTCTCCCAGCGCTCTTTCAGAGTTTCTTTCTCTGGCTCTGCTTCTTCTCCCCAACTCCTCTCTGTTGGTGTCCCCCAAGGTTCAGTCCTTGGTCCCCTACTGTTCTCCATCTATACTGCCTCCCTTGGTAAACTCATTAGCTCCTTTGGCTTCCAATATCATTTCTATGCAGATGACACGCAAATCTACCTGTCCTCTCCTGATCTCTCCCAGTCCCTCTTGACTAGTGTCTCTGACTCCCTCTCTGCTATTTCTAACTGGATGGCTGCCCACTTCCTTAAACTAAACCAAAACTGAAATTCTGGTCTTTCCTCACTCAAGTGTTATTACTCCTGTGTCTGTCTCCCTCCAAGTCAACGGTGCTACCATCAGCAACACCACGCAGGCTCGCTGTCTAGGTGTTCTCTTTGACTTCGACCTCTCCTTCAAGCCTCATGTTCAGTCTATCGCCAAATCCTGCCATTTCTATCTCAAAAACATTGCGCGTATCCGCCCCTACTTAACGCCTGATGCGACTAAGGTGCTGGTCCATTCCACTGTCCTTTCTCGCCTTGACTACTGTAATCCGCTTCTCAGTGGTCTTACATGTTCCCAACTTGCGCCGTTACAGTCCATAATGAATGCAGCAGCGAGGCTCATCTTCCTGTCCGCCCGCACCTCCCATGCCTCACCCTTCTGTCAGTCCCTACATTGGCTTCCTATAAAATATAGAGCTCAATTTAAAATTCTGGTTCTTGCTTTCAAATCTCTACATAATGCTGCTCCCACCTATCTATTCTCCCTTATACACAAGTATGTCCCGTCTAGGCCCTTACGATCTGCTGAAGACTTACGTCTATCTTCTGTCCGTACTCCCACCTCTGATGGTCGCCTTCAAGATTTCTCGAGGGCTGCACCGTTCCTGTGGAACTTGCTTCCCTCCTCCGTTAGATGCTCACCCAGTCTCCACTCCTTCAAAAAATCGTTAAAAACCCACTTCTTCATAAAAGCGTATCAATTAACTGTTAATATCTCCTGACTGATTCCTCTTCTGCAACTGTCACTAGTCTAATACTATCCTTACCTTTTTGTGTCATTTTACCCAACTCCCTCTAGCATGTAAGCTCATTAAGCAGGGCCTTCAACACCTCTGTTGCTCTGTGTCCAACTTGTCTGGTTACAACTACATGCCTGTTCGTCCACCCATTGTAAAGCGCTGCGGAATTTGATGGCGCTATATAAATATCATAATAATAATAATAATAATAAATGTATGGAAAGTCCTTTAAATTCACGTGGTCTGAGCTTCACTCAATTCTCCTCAACTCTTATTTTCTGCAGTCTGTCACGAGGTAGATTTTTGTAGCTTTCATTAAAAAGTTATATTTACATTTTGCGAATCTTTGGTGACTCATTTAATAAATTTGCAGCCAAGCCACCCATGTAGCCTAGCTGACAATAATTGACGCTAAACGTCAGTCTATGGGTAATATCAACCGACGGGTGTTTAGCGTGAATGCACACACGAAAATTCTGCGGACGTCTCTCTAGATTTTCTATAGAATCCTGCTTCATACCTTTGCGCATGCACCAAAATCCAAGGGTGACACACAAAGTCAGTGATGCAACCCTCAGCAAGTGAGGCACATTCCACTTCACTTACCTGCTTCTCCTCTGGGTCATAGAGAGGAGCAGTGGGATGCAGGACAGCCTTCTGAGCATAGTAGAAGACCTCAGAGATATTCTTGAGGTTTTTAGCTGAACACTGGGGAAAGGAAAAAAAAAAAAAGTAAATAAAATTGTGTTCAAGCATAACTAAAGTAAAATCGGATCTATTTTAGTTATCGTATTCTTTATAAGAATAATAATGATGACAAAGGAGAATAGACATGGATAACAGACTTTAGCTAGACAGGACACGGGTGGTTAATATACTTGAGACAACTCAGCGCCTAACAAATAGTAATATGAAGGTAGTCTATAGCAGACTGGCAGTGAATAGATTTTGTTTTGAACAGCTGGTGACAGTAACGGTCATCTCTGTGAAAGGATCACTCAGTACAGCGCTTGACATTTGCTGCAGTGAATTTTAAATGGGCCTCAGGATCATAGTACTTCATGTATCATATCCATCAAAGTTAGTTTTGGGGCAAAGTTCGAAAAGTGGAGATATCAGTAGAAATAATATATATTGGTTTCCGCTTTCAGAGCGTAATATCAGAATTGACCTTTATACACACTGTCCTGTATATTTCAAGATACGGTCATCTGAATTCTGATTCTTACTTCAACACAGGTTTCAATCTCAGAGAACTGGTTCATAATGGGCAAGATGGCTTCCATGGAGCTGCCGCACTGCAGGTCGGATTTATTCCCCACGAGGATAATAGGTAGCCTGTGTGAGATAGTAGCTGCATTAGACAGAAGGTGGGTGCAGCAGTCCCCTATCGATTTATTCATGCAGCTGTCAAAGACAGGCATCATCCAGAACTCTTTACCTAAAATTCCTCTCTGCATTGCCGTTCACAAGCGGAATCCACTTAGATGAGATCTGAAATAAAGAATAAAATGAATGCCTTTTTAAATTCAACAATGAAAACAATCCAACAGATAATTATAGTCAGATACTAGTAATATTCCAAAAGACGTGTAAAATGCACACACTCCTGGAGCAGTGTATAAAATTATCTAAAACAGAACCATGCAATCAACATATTAATAACACGTTCCTGTTCACTTAAAGAACAACTGTCACTTCAAAATGTTTTTTTAATATTATAATCCTTTCAGCAAGTTCTTAAAGGAAATAGATTTTCTAAACGAGCTATATGTAAAATAAAAAAAAAAGAGGTAACAGCTGTCCTTTATGAACAAATTAGCGTGAGCCTGTATGGAATTCCTCTATAGATCCCTGATCACTCATTAACAGACCTGGGGAAGAGCAGTGTAGGTAAGTTTAGGTATTGTTAACTTACCCCAACTGCGTTATTCAATCCAGTAAACACTGCAACAGCGTTTACCAAGACTGAGGAACAGGGAACGGTTATTCCAGAAAAGTCCCAATAAAGGCAATATAGCGGTTTGTAGATTATGTTAATGAATGGAGGATGAGGAGAAGAAGAGATAACAGACGTCATACGTGGGAAGATAATTAAAAGGGGAAATGTCACTTTTTTAATATTATTCCTACCCATCACCTATATTCAGCAAATCTATAATTTGTGAGCTGTGAAAAATATAATTCAATGTTTAAATCCACACTTCTCTCCTGGAACTTGGTATCTACATAATTATTAATGTTGTCCTTTTTCTGCCACTGAACATAGTAAGTGGGTAAAAAACAAAACATATGATTCTAAGTAATAAATCAGCAGTTATAGAAATAAAGAAATCTACAAATTTTATTTCTGAGATATTAAAGTGGTATAAATAGAGCAGTATCTTCAGAAATTTTCCTTTTTGTATTGTTGGTAGTTCAGTTTGCCATTTCTAACCCTGTCAGTCACCATGTTCCCCTATCAGAGATGGAACACAGATACGGGTTTTAGTCAAAATAGTTGGTGAATAGCAGACAGAATAGAAGGGAGTGTTTCCACATACACGGCAGGTCAAGGTTCAAAACAAACAATGTTTCTATCAACAGAAGATCCAGACAGACTCTCCTAGATCCAGCCTGTAAGAGACAGAGGAGAGGTGAAGGTCTCTGGTCCCTTCACTCGTTGTGTCTAGAGGGCTATTGGCTACACCTCAACAATGAGGGCCCATGATAGCAGAACGTCCTGGGGGATCCTCCTGGTGTTACAGAGCTGGACTGCATGTCTGTATTGTTACAAATTAGCTTAACTTGTTGGAGACCTGAGTGGGGGCTAACCAGAGGGAAAACAACCTGATATTTCGTCTGTACACCCTGCTTTATTTTACTTGTTATTTACAGAACAAACGTTTAATGTGAAATTGCAGATGCATTTTTAAAATTTTGTTCTAAGATTGAGCAAACATTTAAAATCAAGAGAAATATAGGAAATATGCTCAGACTATGCTATTAGAGACATCACAACTTGACTCATTTATGAAAACACAAACAAACAGTTTGTTCACGTGTTTAAAAACAGACTTATTACCTTTTCGATGGTATTTAATTCAGACACATCATACACGATGCAGACAACATTTGCCTTTGGAGATACAAGGAAGAGTTAGACAAGTAACACACTGTATTTGGTGAAATATAGCAATGTTTCCATCTATCTGGCCGGCCACAAACTCACCTTAGCTATTTCTTCTCGCAGTTCATCCTCCGTCTGTTCCACCTCTGAGAAAAAGAGGAAAAAAGCTCATTACTGGTCACCTCATTGCGGTCTGTACCAACAGATTTTTTCCTCAGGTCTCCTGCACTAAATGCCAGATTCCAAGAAAAAGAGAACCTTGTTCTCAAAACCAAAGTATACAACAATACATTTTTAGATAAATTTAAACGGACATCTAAAGCGATCTCAAAGCTGCAATAATCTGTCTTTAGGTGATAAAGGAGTCTATAAAAATGTTTTAACTATTTGAATAAAAGTTTTAAGTAGTTCCAACTTTGAGTGGTGCATTGTTTCAGTTTATGTCAATATATATTTAAATTTAACCCACGTACAGATACCTTTTCATACAAAAAAACCAACGCATTAGATGCACTACAACATTAAATCATAACACAGCGGCATTATATATTTTTTTATCACAACTAGAGCCTGTGCCCTGGAGTTAAGGTGATTAAAACGATGAACTTTAAATCTGAGCTTCATTAGACTTCATAGACCCCAAAAGAAAACCGAAAACAAACAAAATAAAAAACATAACTGCTGCTTCACAAGCAATAGATAACGTAATATTTATCAAAGCATAAATCTGTTAAGAAAAAGCTTTTTATTGCACTTTTTACTTTCATATGCTCGCATAAATTATCCGATATGTCAAAGCAGCTATTGGAGACAAATCGTCTTGGCCTACATTCTCATTTCCATTAAGAGACAAGTAGTTTGTAGTGTGCGAAAATATAGTTGTCATGGAAACTGTGTTTGTAAATTGTCATGATGGGTCAAAGTATACAGTTAGAAAACGTAAATATAAAAATAAATGGCCTTCTGGGGGATAATTCGGGAGCTATAACTTTCCTGTTTGACAAGCCACCAATGTTTTAAAATGTTATTAAACACAAGATCGTAAGAAAAGTAAATAAATACCTTTGTCAGTTCAATACTAAAGCTACCTGGCAGGGCACAGTGTTGATTTGGAAAATTACATAAGTTTCAGTGATGACCAGGCATCATGTAGCACAGTTAGTTGCATGCAGAAGGTTGCTTTGTAGGGGAGATTTTTTTTTTAAGGTGATAACAGCACAAGTTTAGCCTTTTTGAGTTCAGATCTAGGCTGAATTCCTCCCATCTCTGTAGTATTTGGTTTCAGTCAAACAGTGAGAGCTTTATCTGCACTGAGCTACAAGGATTCAAACTACAGAGCCTCGCCAGTCTCACTCCAGCCAGTGAAAATGATAAATAACAGTGCCCACTACCTAGCATGGAGTTTGGAAGAAGAAAAAAAAAAAAAAGGATGACGTGTATTCTTTTTACTATGGGAAGGGCAGTCAAAGAAAAAAAATGAATTAAAAAAAAATATCTGGGCTTAAACACAGTCAAGATTATTCACTAATTATGTAAATAAAGTGAATTTCAAGGCTGTTTATATAAAAAAAAGAAGAAAAAAAAAGTGGATTCAAATTTAGAATTCCCTTTCATCTGCGGACAGTTCATGCATTAGTGAATAACTCTATGAAATTGTACTTTGTATCAGTATAACACGTGTACGCTGTACCTCCTCTCCATAGACAGGGTATATATAAACAATCGTGGTTTATGGGACAGAGAATGTCGTACATTACATTGTGTGGAACATACCTGAGAAATCTACAATGTGGGTGGGCACGCGTTCCGGGGTAACGTCTGCTGGTATGGTGATCTCTTCTGCTCTTGCCGGGACCTTTAACACACATATGTACAGAGCATGAGCCATAATTATTGAAATTAAACTATACATATCAAATAAAGAACAGTGTAGTTTGACAGATATGAATGGTTTTATTTTCTAAAGTAAAATACAGCAATATATTCCAATACTGGATCCATTTCAATAACGGTAGTTTAGACTAAGCTATCTGGGGCTTTAAGTCAAAAACATTAAAAAGAAAAAAAAGATTTCTGACAAAATACTCCAGACAAATTCATAAAAATGCTAAATTGTATTGAAATCGACACTTGTTTAGACATTGAATCCTAGAACTGGTAGTGTCTGCTGATATTTGCAGTTTAAATTTTGATGTCTAAGAGAATATTGCATGGATCTGATTGGTTGTGCTTGTCTCTTCTAAAGGAAGGCCTCTAAATATAGTTCTCTTGCTCCAAAACCCAAACCACACATTTGTATTATATTCATTCTAATTAAAGCCAACATAACAGCTTGGAATTATTCTGAAGAATAATCTGCTCTCAACTTAATGAAACTTTCTAATGCATGTTTGGAACACACATAATGTGTACACAGACAGAAAATTGGCATTATTACTGCTTAGCTATGCAAGCTAACAGCGGACCTTAAAGGGACACTCCAGACCCTTAAAACACTTAAAGGACCACTCTAGGCACCCAGACCACTTCAGCTTAATGGTCCTTCTAGGGTTAACCCATTCTTTTATGAATGGGTTAAGCCTTCCCCCAAATCCTCTAGTGGCCGTCTCATTGACAGCCGCTAGAGGCGCTTGCGTGATTCTCACTGTGAAAATCACAGTGAGAGCACTCCAGCGTCCATAGGAAAGCATTGATAATGCTTTCCTATGCGACCAGCTGAATGCGCGCGCAGCTCTTGCCGTGCGTGCGCATTCCGCCGACGGGGAGGAGGAGGATCGGAGGCGGAGAGCTCCCCGCCCAGCGCTGGAAAAAGGTAAGTTTTTACCCCTTTCCTCCTTCCAGAGCCGGGCGGGAGGGGGTCCCTGAGGCTGGGGGCACCTTCAGGGCACTATAGTGCCAGGAAAACGAGTATGTTTTCCTGGCACTATAGTGGTCCTTTAAGTTAGTTTGCTAAAGTACTTTATGTGTGAAGAGTGAGTCCTATTTTTTTCAGTTTGAAAAAAGTGCAGATTTCAAAAGGAATTGACACTTTTCTAAATAAAACTGGTTACTGCTCCAATGGCATTTCAAGCAGAAAACCGGTCCTGTTACTTCCTGGTTTGGTTAGCTAAGTTGAGCTAAACTCAAGAGGCAGCAATTGCCCAGACACCTGCCTTACAAAGACTTCTCATTGAGCTGCATTGGGAAGTCTGTGTTTGGACAGCCACATAAAGTCTGGGCAGGGTTAGAAGGGGAGGGCTTGCAAAGGGCAGCAGACAAGAGATCTGTAGATTTTGAAAGCTCTTTCTAGATATAACTTTAACCCCTTAAGGACCAAACTTCTGGAATAAAAGGGAATCATGACATGTCACACATGTCATGTGTCCTTAAGGGGTTAAAGGGATCCTATAGTGCCAGGAAAACAAACCAGTTTTCCTGGCACTATAGGTTTAATAGGTACATCCCTCCCGTGGGGCTGAAGGGGTTAAAACCCCCTTCAGCCACTTTATTGAATCCAGCGCCAATGTCCCTTGGCACTGGGTGAGTCACGCTCCTGCGGTTGCGCGCGCATTAGACCTCCCCATAGGAAAGCATTATTCAATGCTTTCCTATGGGGAAAATCTGATGCTGGAGGTCTGTAAGGACGTCCAGCATCAGATAACTGAACAAAAGTCAGTTTGGATTCCACAAGCGCCCCCCAGTGGCTGTCTGGTAGACAGTCACTGAGGGCAGACTTAGAACTGCAATGTTTTGCATTGCAGCACTAAGTGCAAAAGAGTCACAGCACCCAGACTACTTCAATGAGCTGAAGTGGTCTGGGTGCCTATAGTGTCCCTTTAATGAAAAAATGCATAATTAAATGCATGCAAGTTTTCATGTGGGGTATATCTACTAAACAGTGATTTTCATTTATTTAGTATTGGGGCAGGGGAGTGTCCCTTAACATATGGTTCCATGTCACATGCAATCACCCATCTTTATTTGTTTTGATTGAGGTTATTTGGCAGCACTGTTATCTGTATTATTTTCCAATAAAATGATGGTTGGACATTGATAGATCAAGATAGATACTCACCTCATCAGGAAACTCCTCACCCACAAGAGCCATAATTAGGGACGTTTTCCCCACCTGGGCTGCAAAGACCAAAATAAAACACACAGTGAGTGGATTAGAGCGTTGGGTTACATGATTCCATATACAGGTTTTTCTACCCTCAGTGTGGTCCCACCCTAGGTACCTACCCAGAACACTATTGGGACACAGTTTTAGGACCTTGTCCAGGGTAAAGGACTGATTTAAAACAAATGGCAGAAAACATGTATTTTTCAATTAATAGACTGTACATTTAAAGGGATATATCCATGTCTTCCTAAATAAACACTGCTTGTTAGCGGTGAGGAACAAAACAAGCAGATCCTGTCGCAGCTGAATAGCAATCTAAGATTCATATAGAATTCCAATTGGAAATGTTATAGTCAAATAAAACCTTCACCACTTTTAGGCATAACTGTCACATTATAACAACATAAATCATATCCAGCTCATAAACAAAACTACTTTGTCCCATTTTATTTTATTTTTTTATATATATAGCTGTTAGTTTTAAAATATATCTATATTATTGAACCTAGACGGTTACCTCAACTGTCTTCTGAAAAGGCACAGACAGGGCATTCTATGCAAATTAGCCTTCCTTTCCTAACACTCCTGTGGCAAGATTAAACTGGGCACCAGATTTCCCAAATTCCCCTAAGATCAGCTATGTCTCTAATGAATGAAAGTCTGAAAACACAGCCTGCCAACACAAACGAATGGACAGACTGAAGAACTGGAATGAGTCACAATGAGACAATTTATTAGAATCTGAAAGCAGAACGGTCACTTCCAGAGAAGTACCACAACAACAGTAAATGCTATAGCAGCGTTTACTGGGTTGAATAAAGCAGTGGAGGAAATTAAAACATTTACTTTTGCAACAGTGTGGGCCACTATACGGTCTCATCAAGCCAGGGGCATGCTCATACCCGCTTGGGCAACTACACAGAAATGTATGATGCACTCTTCTGCATTTCCTCAGGTGTATGACGTTGCTGTGCAGGGAGTGCCCACGTGGCAAGAAATGTGTTAAAATAGTAAGGCAACATGAATGGTACAACCAATAGCTATGATTTTGATAGCTATATGGGTGTGCAAAAAGCACACATTAAGCACGAACACTGAAAAAATAAATAAATACAATTTAGCAGCAGAATCACTGCTTCAAAAATCCAAAAATAGAACCATAATGACTTATGCTTTCTTACAAGAAATATGATGGACTGTATATGTCCTACCAAAACCAAGAGTTCTATCCTAATTAAACATACAAGCTGATTTCATTTAGAAAATATAGTTTGTTACATAGCTGAAAAGAGACTTGCGTCCATCAAGTTCAGCCTTCCTCACATATGTTTTTGCTGTTAATCCAAAAGAGGGCAGAAAACCTAGTCTGAAGCGCTTCCAATTTTGCCACAAACTAGGAAAAAAATTCCTTCTTGACCCCAAAATAGCAGTCAGATGTCTCCTTGGATCAAGCAGCTATTACCCCACTAATTAGAAATATCCCTGTATGTTATGTTTTTGCAAGTATTTATCCAATTGCAGTTTAAACATCTGTAATGACTCTGACAAAACCACCTCTTCAGGCAGAGATTTCCATATCCTTATTGCTCTTACTGTAAAAAAACCTTTTCTTTGCCTTAGATGAAATCTCCTTTCTTCCAGCCTAAATGTGTGACCTTGTGTCCCATGTATAGCCCTGTTTATGAATTGGTTTCCAGATAAATGTTTGTACTGGCCCCAAATATATTTGTATAAAGTTATCATATCCCCTCTAAGGCGCCGGTTTTTCAAACTAAACAGATTTAATTTTTTTTAACCTTTCTTCATAATTAAAATGCTCCATTCCTTTTATCAATTTTGTAGCTCGTCTCTGGACTTTTCCCAGTGACAGAATATCTTTCTTTAGAACAGGAGCCCAAAATTGCACAGCATATTCAAGGTGTGGTCTTACCAGCGATTTATAAAGAGGCAAAATTATATTTTCATCCCGAGAATTTATGCCCCTATTTATACATGACAAAACCTTACTGGTCTTAGCAACTGCAGATTGACATTGCATATAGCTGCCTAATTTGTTGTCTATAACAATTCCCAAATCCTTCTCGTGTGTGGTTATCCCTAGTTCACTACCATTTAGGGTGTAAATTGCTTGTGCATTCTTAACCCCGAAGTGCATAACTTTGCATTTCTCTACATTAAAGGGACACTATAGTCACCTGAATAACTTTAGCTTAATGAAGCAGTTTTGGTGTATAGATCATGCCCCTGCAGCCTCACTGCTCAATTCTCTGCCATTTAGGAGTTAAATCCCTTTGTTTATGAACCCTAGTCACACCTCCCTGCATGTGACTTGCACAGCCTTCCATAAACACTTCCTGTAAAGAGAGGCCTATTTAGGCTTTCTTTATTGCAAGTTCTGTTTAATTAAGATTTTCTTATCCCCTGCTATGTTAATAGCTTGCTAGGCCCTGCAAGAGCCTCCTGTATGTGATTAAAGTTCAATTTAGAGATTGAGATACAATTATTTAAGGTAAATTACATCTGTTTGAAAGTGAATCTAGTTTTTTTTTCCATGCAGGCTCTGTCAATCATAGCCAGGGGAGGTGTGGCTAGGGCTGCATAAACAGAAACAAAGTGATTTAAAGGGACACTTTAGTCACATGAACAACTTCAGCTTAATGAGGTTGTTCAGGTGAGTGCTACAGCTCCCTGCAGCCCTTTTCTTGTAAGCACTGTATTTTCTGAGAAAATACAGTGTTTACATTGGAAGCTTGGAACACCTCCAGTTGCAGTCAGACGGCCACCAGAGTGACCTCCGAGTTCAGAAGCCCTAAAAAGGCTTCATTCACGTCTGATGTATTCACGCATGGGTGAATACTTCAGACATGCTATCAGCACACAAAGCACTGTGCACGAGCTCTGTGTGCTGAGGCTGTCAGCACTGCGTGGGAGTGGCTTGAGCTGACAGGCTGAAGACCAAAGAGGAGGAGGGGAGGATTCAAACTGTGAGTGTGGGTGGGTAACTGAGTGTGAGTGGGTGAGGATGGATGATGGGAATGGATGGATATGGATGATGGGGATGGATATGGATGGATGATGGGAATGGATAGAAGCGTCCTATTGGGCCCTGCGATTTTGACGAAAAAGGGGGCGTGGCCTAGCGGGGAACTCGGCGCTGGAACGGAGGTAAGTTTTATTATTAAAACTTATTCAGATTTTTTTTTTTTTTTAATGGCAAGTTCATATAAAAGCAATAAAGGCGGCTGGGGGACCTGTCTTCCTTGCTTTTATATGTTGACTATAGTGTCCCTTTAACTCCTAAATGAGAGTGAATTGAGCAGTGAAATTGCAGGGGAATGATCTATACACTAAAACTGCTTTATTTAGCTAAAGTAATTTAGGTGACTATAGTGTTCCTTTAAATTTCATCTGCCATTTTAGTGCCCAGTCCCCCAGTCTATCCAAATCCCTCTGCAGCAAAGCAATATCCTGCTCACATTTGATTACTTTACAAACTTGTTGTACTCTATCCTTAAGCCAATGTTCTACCCAAGAACAAGAATATTCATCTAGACCAATTTCTTTTAGTTTGAAGACTAACCTATTGTGAGGAACCGTATCAAATGCCTTGGCAAAAGCCAAGTAGACCACATCCACTGCAACACCCTGATCTATACTTCATATTTCTTCGTAAAATGTAATGAAGTTAGTTTGACATGACCTAGGTTTCATAAAACCATGCTGATTACTGCTAATAAAGTTCTTCCCAATGAATTCCTGAATATTATCCATTAAAAGCCCTTGTAATATATAAATCAGAGTCATTTGAAGTGAACAGTAACATTTAGGAGCCAGACAAAAACATATCTTGCGCGCCAACACTATAACTACCAGGAAGGATCATGTCGCCCGCCTGGATCCGCAGTGGTTGTGGTAGTAAAGTAGATTTATGGTAGCAGGTTTTAACGTTCCCCTGTAGATCCAAATATATTTTCCTTGACCATTTCCTACCGGTCCGTGTATAACATTTGAAACAGATTTTCTTAGCTGTTTTGGTTGACAACTTATAAATAGACAACGCATTCCACTTTACTACCACTCACGGGATATTGTGTGAAGATATATCTCGAAGAATAACTCAAGGAATTAGAGATTGTCCGTCCCAGGAAATACATCGTACAACAAATGTTTATTCACACACCTTGCACATCCTATCAGAACGGTTAATACTGCCAGAATTACATATTCACAATCAGAGTAAGGCTTGGTTAGTCTGTGATAACGATTCGAACTGAAAAACACCTAAAAATTAAACAGTGTGAAATATAGAAGAGTATGCTCACTCTCTCACCAACCGCCAGCAGTCCTGCCACTCCATATCAAGGGCAGTCTCACAGAATGCAATAGCCTATGCGCATCAGATTATTTAATAAACTCTTCATTTAGTGGATTTAAACATAAAATGACAAGACTGATGTGAAAAAAAGCTGATTTGTAAATATTCGCTAACTCTGCAATAGTCACATCTTCACTCACAGTTTGTGTTCTATAGTCAGTGTGCACTCACTCTCACAGTTTGGGTTTCTGCAGTCAGTGTGCACTCACTCTCACAGTTTGGGTTCTGTAGTTAGTGTGCACTCACTCTCACAGTTTGTGTTCTGTAGTTAGTGTGCACTCACTCTCACAGTTTGTGTTCTGTAGTTAGTGTGCACTCACTCTCACAGTTTGTGTTCTGCAGTTAGTGTGCACTCACTCTCACAATTTGGGTTCTGTAGTTAGTGTGCACTCACTCTCACAGTTTGGGTTCTGTAGTTAGTGTGCACTCACTCACAGTTTGGGTTCTGCAGTCAGTGTGCACTCACTCACAGTTTGGGTTCTGCAGTCGGTGTGCACTCACTCTCACAGTTTGGGTTCTGCAGTCGGTGTGCACTCACTCTCACAGTTTGGGTTCTGCAGTCAGTGTGCACTCACTCTCACAGTTTGGGTTCTGCAGTCGGTGTGCACTCACTCTCACAGTTTGGGTTCTGCAGTTAGTGTGCACTCACTCTCACAGTTTGGGTTCTGTAGTCAGTGTGCACTCACTCTCACAGTTTGGGTTCTGTAGTTAGTGTGCACTCACTCACAGTTTGGGTTCTGTAGTCAGTGTGCACTCACTCTCACAGTTTGGGTTCTGCAGTCAGTGTGCACTCACTCTCACAGTTTGGGTTCTGCAGTCAGTGTGCACTCACTCTCACAGTTTGGGTTCTGTAGTTAGTGTGCACTCACTCTCACAGTTTGGGTTCTGCAGTCAGTGTGCACTCACTCTCACAGTTTGGGTTCTGTAGTCAGTGTGCACTCACTCTCACAGTTTGGGTTCTGTAGTCAGTGTGCACTCACTCTCACAGTTTGGGTTCTGTAGTCAGTGTGCACTCACTCTCACAGTTTGGGTTCTGCAGTCAGTGTGCACTCACTCTCACAGTTTGGGTTCTGCAGTCAGTGTGCACTCACTCTCACAGTTTGGGTTCTGTAGTTAGTGTGCACTCAGTTAGTGAGCACTCACACTCCGCAGAGGTGACATTGAGTGTCCTCCCTCACACTGGCCCCCTCTGGTGACTCTCACTCCCCGCCCCCGGCCATGCTGAGTGCCCACTCACCCTCCCCCAGGAGGAGGATCCTCACGTCCCGTTTCATGGCTCCGGTGTCAGCCCGTTTCCGGGTGCAATGCCGCCACTGACAGGCTGCTCCACTTCCGGCTTCACAGCCCGAGCTACGTCACTTCCGGAATGCGGGGCCCAAACGGCGGCTACTGGTTACCATGGTAACACGGGGGGCGGGGCGGGACGAGACATGATTGACATCACGTACACTCACACTCAGAGAGAGAGAGAGGGGGACCTTTATATAGACACTCACACTCAGAGAGAGAGAGAGAGAGGGACCTTTATATAGACACTCACACTCAGAGAGAGAGAGAGAGAGGGACCTTTATATAGACACTCACACTCAGAGAGAGGGACCTTTATATAGACACTCACACTCAGAGAGAGAGAGGGACCTTTATATAGACACTCACACTCAGAGAGAGAGAGAGAGGGGGACCTTTATATAGACACTCACACTCAGAGAGAGAGGGACCTTTATATAGACACTCACACTCAGAGAGAGAGAGAGAGAGGGACTTTTATATAGACACTCACACTCCGAGAGAGAGAGACCTTTATATAGACACTCACACTCAGAGAGAGGGGGACCTTTATATAGACACTCACACTCAGAGAGAGAGACCTTTATATAGACACTCACACTCAGAGAGAGAGGGACCTTTATATAGACACTCACACTCAGAGAGAGAGAGGGGGACCTTTATATAGACACTCACACTCCGAGAGAGAGAGAGAGGGACCTTTATATAGACACTCACACTCAGAGAGAGAGGGACCTTTATATAGACACTCACACTCAGAGAGAGAGAGAGACCTTTATATAGACACTGACACTCACACTCCGAGAGAGAGGGACCTTTATATAGACACTAACACTCCGAGAGAGAGGGACCTTTATATAGACACTCACACTCAGAGAGAGAGGGACCTTTATATAGACACTCACACTCAGAGAGAGAGGGACCTTTATATAGACACTCACACTCAGAGAGAGAGAGAGGGACCTTTATATAGACACTCACACTCAGAGAGAGGGAGGGGGACCTTTATATAGACACTCACACTCAGAGAGAGAGGGACCTTTATATAGACACTCACACTCCGAGAGAGAGAGAGAGGGACCTTTATATAGACACTCACACCCAGAGAGAGAGAGAGAGAGAGGGACCTTTATATAGACACACACACTCCGAGAGAGAGAGAGGGCCTATATATAGACAACACACAAGCAAAGAGAGGGAGACCTTTATATAGACACTCACACTCAGACGAGAGAGAGAGGGACCTTTATATAGACACTCACACTCAGAGAGAGAGAGAGGGACCTTTATATAGACACTCACACTCAGAGAGGGGGACCTTTATATAGATACTCACACTCAGAGAGAGAGAGAGGGACCTTTATATAGACACTCACACTCAGAGAGAGAGGGACCTTTATATAGACACTCACACTCAGAGAGAGAGAGAGAGACCTTTATATAGACACTCACTCTGAGAGAGAGAGAGACACCTTTATATAGACACTGACACTCACACTCCGAGAGAGAGGGACCTTTATATAGACACTCACACTCCGAGAGAGAGGGGGACCTTTATATAGACATTCACACTCCGAGAGAGAGAGGGACCTTTATATAGACACTCACACTCAGAGAGAGAGAGGGACCTTTATATAGACACTCACACTCAGAGAGAGAGGGGGACCTTTATATAGACACTCACACTCAGAGAGAGAGAGGGGGACCTTTATATAGACACTCACACTCAGAGAGAGAGAGGGACCTTTATATAGACACTCACACTCAGAGAGAGAGAGAGGGACCTTTATATAGACACTCACACTCAGAGAGAGAGAGAGGGGGACCTTTATATAGACACTCACACGCAGAGAGAGGGAGCGGGACCTTTATATAGACACTCACACTCAGAGAGAGAGGGGGACCTTTATATAGACACTCACACTCCGAGAGAGAGAGAGGGACCTTTATATAGACACTCACACTCAGAGAGAGAGAGAGGGACCTTTATATAGACACTCACACTCAGAGAGAGAGGGACCTTTATATAGACACTCACACTCAGAGAGAGAGAGAGAGCTTTATATAGACACTCACACTCAGAGAGAGAGAGAGGGACCTTTATATAGACACTACACTCAGAGAGAGAGAGGGACCTTATATAGACACCTCACACTCAGGAGAGAGAGAGAGGGACCTTTATAGACACTCACACCTGTGAGAGAGGGACCTTTATATAGACACTCACACTCAGAGAGAGAGAGAGGACCTTTATATAGACACTCACACTCAGAGAGAGGGACCGACCTTTATATAGACACTCACACTCAGAGAGAGAGGGACCTTTATATAGACACTCACACTCAGAGAGAGAGGGGGACCTTTATATAGACACTCACACTCCGAGAGAGAGAGAGGGACCTTTATATAGACACTCACACTCCGAGAGAGAGAGAGGGACCTTTATATAGACACTCACACTCAGAGAGAGAGGGACCTTTATATAAACACTCACACTCAGAGAGAGAGAGAGACCTTTATATAGACACTCACACTCTGAGAGAGAGAGAGAGAGAGCTTTATATAGACACTGACACTCACACTCCGAGAGAGAGGGACCTTTATATAGACACTCACACTCCGAGAGAGAGGGACCTTTATATAGACACTCACACTCAGAGAGAGAGAGGGACCTTTATATAGACACTCACACTCCGAGAGAGAGGGGGACCTTTATATAGACACTCACACTCCGAGAGAGAGAGAGGGACCTTTATATAGACACTCACACTCAGAGAGAGAGGGACTATATAGACACTACACCAGAGAGAGAGAAAACCTTTATATAGACACTCACACTCTGAGAGAGAGGGACCTTTATATAGACACTACACTCCGAGAGAGACCTTATATAGACACTACACTCAGAGAGAGGGACCTTATATATACCGAAGACTCACACCGAGAGAGAGGACCTTTATATGACACTCACACTGAGAGAGAGGGGACCTTTATATAATAATTACACCGAGAGAGAGGGACTCATATAGACACTCACACCATAGAGAGAGAGGACCTTATATAGACACTCACACTCAGAGAGAGGCATCTCATAGACACTCACACCCAGAGAGAGAGGGACCTTACAGACACTCACACTCAGAGAGAGAGAGAGGACCTTATATAGACACTCACACACAGAGAGAGAGAGAGACCTTTATATAGACACTCACACTCTGAGAGAGAGGGACCTTTATATAGACACTCACACTCAGAGAGAGAGAGAGACCTTTATATAGACACTGACACTCACACTCCGAGAGAGAGGGACCTTTATATAGACACTCACACTCAGAGAGAGGGACCGACCTTTATATAGACACTCACACTCAGAGAGAGAGGGACCTTTATATAGACACTCACACTCAGAGAGAGGGGGACCTTTATATAGACACTCACACTCAGAGAGAGAGAGGGGGACCTTTATATAGACACTCACACTCAGAGAGAGAGAGAGGGACCTTTATATAGACACTCACACTCAGAGAGAGAGAGGGGGACCTTTATATAGACACTCACACTCAGAGAGAGGGAGGGGGACCTTTATATAGACACTCACACTCAGAGAGAGAGGGGGACCTTTATATAGACACTCACACTCCGAGAGAGAGAGAGGGACCTTTATATAGACACACACACTCAGAGAGAGAGAGAGAGACCTTTATATAGACACTCACACTCTGAGAGAGAGGGACCTTTATATAGACACTCACACTCAGAGAGAGAGAGAGACCTTTATATAGACACTGACACTCACACTCCGAGAGAGGGGGACCTTTATATAGACACTCACACTCCGATAGAGAGAGGGACCTTTATATAGACAATCACACTCAGAGAGAGAGAGAGGGACTTTTATATAGACACTCACACTCAGAGAGAGAGAGAGAGAGGGACCTTTATATAGACACTCACACTCAGAGAGAGAGAGGGACCTTTATATAGACACTCACACTCAGAGAGAGGGACCTTTATATAGACACTCACACTCAGAGAGAGAGGGACCTTTATATAGACACTCACACTCAGAGAGAGAGAAAGAGAGAGAGAGACCTTTATATAGACACTGACACTCACACTCCAAGAGAGGGGGACCTTTATATAGACACTCACACTCCGAGAGAGAGAGGGACCTTTATATAGACAATCACACTCAGAGAGAGAGAGAGGGACCTTTATATAGACACTCACACTCAGAGAGAGAGGGACCTTTATATAGACACTCACACTCAGAGAGAGAGGGACCTTTATATAGACACTCACACTCCGAGAGAGAGAGAGAGGGACCTTTATATAGACACTGACACTCACACTCCAAGAGAGGGACCTTTATATAGACACTCACACTCGAGAGAGGAACCTTTATATAGACACTTTCCCACGCACTCAGAGAGAGAGGGGACCTTTATATAGACACTCACACTCAGAGAGAGAGAGGGGGACCTTTATATAGACACTCACACTCAGAGAGAGAGAGGGACCTTTATATAGACACTCACACTCAGAGAGAGAGAGAGGGACCTTTATATAGACACTCACACTCAGAGAGAGAGAGAGGGGGACCTTTATATAGACACTCACACGCAGAGAGAGGGAGCGGGACCTTTATATAGACACTCACACTCAGAGAGAGAGGGGGACCTTTATATAGACACTCACACTCCGAGAGAGAGAGAGGGACCTTTATATAGACACTCACACTCCGAGAGAGAGAGAGGGACCTTTATATAGACACTCACACTCACACGACTCCTGTATAGAAATAGACACTCAGAAAATAAAATGCTAAAATATACAAAAAAATGTTTATTAAAAACAATTTACAAAATTCCATAAAACAATTAGCATTTTACAGAAATAAAAAAATAAACCCACAAGTAAAAACAAATAAAATACTACTAAAATATAAGAAATTAAAAAAAATAAGCTGAATAGAAATTGTCTGCTGGGATCGTGACAAATATCCCCTCTGCTCTCCGTACAAAATGACTGTCCACAGATTCATATTTTGGTAAAAACTCTTAAAAGG